TAACTCGAACTCCTGTGCTTCGGATGGCTTTAAGCAATCAGTTGGTACAGGTTATATCTTCAGTCATCAACTCGCATTCTCCCTATTCCTTTCCATCCAGACGGTAGTGCCCCAGCGCTAGGAACATTAAAAGACTGATGGTGATGTATTAACTTGTAATATAGGTTTCCGGGAGTCACTGAAATAATATGTCGAGTATTTTGTTTTAAAATTTTTGTTATTAGACTTAGTATTTTGGTTTTTTTTTCCCAAAATACTGTCGCTAAATAAAATGTATAAGATATTTCCTTAAGTAATATAACTTCGGACGTTTTGTTGTACGTTAATCTCTTTTATAAATAGTATAATCTTAACATCCAAATTAATTGTGTCATAAAAATAAAAACAAAGCCAGTCTTGTTTGTATTGAAATATCCATTTCAAAGAAATCTGTATATCATTACAGAGATAACTCCTTCCTTGCAGAACTAATATATTATGAGAAGCATATCATAAAGATGAATAAATATTAGACATCACATATATTGCTCAGATGTCACAACACATCACAAGCTCATCAATATTCCTATAAATGAGACTGGAATCGAATAAAATAGACTAGGGATAATCGATGGATATAAACAACTTTTATAGTTGCCGATACCAACGGCTTAACGTGCCTTCCGAAGCACGGAGGAGCTCGAGATTATAAATTTTTGGTCACCCATCCTACGACCGGCCATTACGAAAGTTGTGTAACAACCGTATGGCAGATCGAGTGCACTAACCATTGCGATATCGAACTAACCAGATGTAATACCAAGAATTCTTAAACCCTTTCTATTATCGAAATATGAAACAAATGCCGTGCCAGAATACAGACGAAAGACAATTTAAAAGTTCATTTTTGACCTTGTGTTAACGGCCGTATATTCAGCAGGGAGGGACCAACTGCTTAGCGTGCCTTATGAAACTCTGAAGAGGTCGAGATATTTATTCCATTATTGGTCACCCCCCTATTACCGGCCTTTGCGTAAGATACTTATCTTCCGCGCTAACCACTGCACCATCGAGCTCAAATACCGTTTAAAATTGGGGCAGGCAAATTGCATTAATGTCGTCAAATTGTTCTTAATGTTTCACACAATTAGTTATCAAAATGTTCCACTTTTAACATTTATCGATTAATACCAATCACCTTGGCCCGATAACATAATTACATATTCAAAAGAAATAACTTCTAAATTGAGATCTCTTTAGAAACTCCTTAATTTGGAATTAAACTGTAATTAAATACAACGTTTGATAATTGTTATTTTATAGCTTATAATTACGGTGTTATCATTCAAGAAAAGGATACATCTATAATTTAAAGTTTTAAAATTGAAAAAATTGTATTAAAGTAAAAATTTATACTAACAAATACATAGTCTCATATTAAACATTCTCCTTTCTTAAGCAACTTCAAAATCCAAAAAGTTATTATGTTCTATGGCACTGATTTTTTATATTTATGTTTACAGATAGTTTCGCCTATTGTTGACCGATTTTCAAAAATTATTTTTTTAACCGACATGAATGAATCGAGCTGGTTCCATTTAAATTTTATCAAATACTCTTTCCGCCAATTATCACACAAATATTTAGTTGATATGGTAAAGTGGGAAATTCACTAGACGGGCATGATCGCGGGTATGTCTGCAGATATGTCTGCCAGACCTCGTTATAGGTCTGTGGAATGACTATCGCCATACCTTTAGCGTGTGTGGCTAGTGTAGGACTGTCACCCTATACTAGCGACATATGCTTAACAAGGTCTTGCATTCATGTCTGCAGACTTACCCGCAGGCATGCCCGTATAGTGGTCTAGTGAATTCCCCGTGAATTCCCACCGCGGGCCATTTCAACTTAAAAACAAAAGATTGCATTTGGAATTCAAAGATTGTATTTGTAACTCATTCAAAAGCCGAACGGTGAATTTTCTACGTTCAAAGAGTATGTATATTTTTTTAATGACAGTAGGTATGTTAATCGATTTCTTGGTTGTGAACCAATTTCTATCAAACAAGCTGTTTCCCCGCGACTTCGCCTGCATAAATTGTATCCTATGTTCCACACGTATTAAGTAGCTTCCCAAAGATGAAAGAAACGAGCAATGCAATCTTTCCTGTTTTTAAAATATGAGTATTTTAAAAACATATAACAAATCATTTATTAAAAATCCAGCCGTTTAAAGTGCTCCAATTTCCATACCTAATTTCTCATATATTTTTGTAACTAAATTAAAATGTATTGACGCCGGATTTTTTACTGTTATACCTATAACGATACAAATTATTATATAAAATATATTTTTTTAAATCCAATTTCTCTTACTTGGTATCAATGTAAATTTTTAAAGAAATTCAGCATTTTACTTCATTGTTAATACATTTCCAAATCATCATTTTTAGAATTCATTCGATCGTCACGGTGTATGCTTATATCAAATCATTTAGCATAAAAACGACGATAAAAACTCAAAAATATTTTCGATCAATTGAAAAAAAAAAACTATCTGTGCATGCTATGATATTCCGAAATAATATCAGCTTCAAACTTGACGTTACCCACAGGTTTTTTTTCCCAGCATAAAGGTTCAGTGAAAGAAACCTTTATTACAATTAGAAGTAGATTTTATTTGATTGAACCTCTATGTCGAGTTTTATTACAGAATAGAATTTACCTGCAGAGCGATCGACCGGTAAATCAACATTACCTATCATGTTCTTATAAAACGTAATTCTGAATTAAGTATCTAGATAGGTATATTGAAACGACTTTAACGATCATATTAGTCATGTGATGTATTTATTCGTTTTTTTTTTGTCTAATCATCACTAAAATCACAAAACAAAGCGGATATTTAATGTGTATTGTTTGCGAAACAAAAAGTTAATAAAACCTTGAGATATGACAGAATAAATCTATTGTAATATGCAAGGATGCTGAGCATCTATAGATACTCTGAATAAACTACTTGATATTTTCCGCTTAACATTGTATCACTGTGGCGAACATTTATAAGTACCATCAGACTAAAAGATCGTGACAAAAAATGTGCAAGAGCTTTCAAAAGCTTGATATTTCACTATGTTGACGTACTATGAATATTAATCACTGTGAGTGAGCATACCCAGTGAGGAGGTCAGATCACCTGGAGAAATATAAAGAGAAATCGTAACATGTAATTAAAAGTGCTTTTTGATAGATCTAAAATTAGCGAAAAACTTGTTTTTAATATAAAAAAGTAGAATAAACTGCTGAGATAGCCCAATCGTGAAACTTACGTAGTTTCGGAGTCTATTTAATGCAAACAAACAATCAAATTTTTGGTCTCTATGATAAATACAATACCTATAATTGACAAGACCATAACATTGAAAACCATGTTGATGTCCACTAAAACTCACAACAACTAGCAATATTAAAAACCTTACCAACCTTAAAAACCAGTATGTAGTGAACGATATTCAAATTCAGGTATTATCCTATTCATATTACAGAAATACATTATTATGAAAACAAAAATAAAGATTAATTACAATAATTTTAAATATGTCTAAGAGGTGGGGCACTTTAAAGCTTAATAAGTCGCGAACGGTTTATAAAACGAAAAATGGTCTTCCCACACCACCACTATTTTTGAAAGACCTATCCAACAATACCCCACGCTATAAGGAATACGAAAAAATATATCATCCCCACTTTCCATGTAGGGGAGGAACCCTAAAAATTTTTTTTTCAAGATTTTATTTTACCACTTTGTCGCCATTGTAAACGTGTGTACTCGTGCCAAATAACAACTTTCTAGTACTTATAGTTTTTGAGTCAATCCGCGGACAGACGGACGAACAGATGGACATGGCGAAACTATAAGGGTTCGTTATTGACTTCGGAACCCTAAAAAACAAGACACTTAATTATTTCTCATTAAAATGTACCAAGAGCCACGTACGATTGCCATTTTTTACATATTCAATTTATAACGTATTTATTTTGAATCATACAAACTAGACCTTTAAATCTCTATTTATACATCGCGTAATTTTTAGTATTCGTGCTACTTATTTACCTATTTAGCTAATGCATTTGTTTGTAAAATGCCTGACAAATGCTTTTCAAACATTTAATTTTAGTTTGGCTGAGTACACAATTATATAAGTTTTAATGTGTGAACAAAATAATGAAGGTCACTGATAGCAAATAAAAGGTATTTTGTAAGGTATAAGGTATACGACAGTAGTTCGTGTAGATGTGTAAAGTATACTGAACAACTTTCACTATGGGACCAACACTGAATTTATGAAAAAAAAATTCGGATGTTTCATACTGTCAGCGATTGTGGGTATGACAATTTTGTATGAAACAGCTGATTATTCTTTCGTGAATTCAGTGTTAGTTCAGTATAATTAACTCATCCACTCCACGAAGTCCTGGCATATTTACACCTTACATATAAGTTCTTTATATAAGATCGTCGTATCGATATTTTTTTAATTTAGTACATACCTTCATGTCAATATACAAAACTTTTGAGAAGGTTAGGGTTATTCGGACCGAAGTACTACTACTATTGCAAATGTTTTTATTATGATGGCTACAAAAACCCCAAAGAGTACAGTGAGTTCGTTCTACCATTGACCGTTTACGAGTCACTTATGATACCGTAATTTTATGTGTCAAGTATCCTAAACAAATTTCTGTTAAGAGGACACTTTTCACAAAAGTGATAATATTAAAGCATCTTTATATAATTCGAATTATAGATATAGCAACGTCCTGCTGTAAGGGCTGTATATAGATCATTCATTATAGTTAAAATGCTTTGTCTCTTTACTATTATATTTTATTGCCTTTTCAATACTGAGTTTAGTATCTCAAAGAAGTGATTGAAAATACTCTTCTGATGTCATATTTATTAAGAAATTCAACCCTGATTCTTTTAGAAATATCCACGATGTTCTTTATCTTGGTTACAGTATCAAAACATATGCTGTCAGACATCGAGAAGCTGCCGGGGGTGCAGCTTGGAGACTTCCTGTTGACATTCGAACTGGACGAACCCAGAGCATCCGTTCAAGAGATCGCGACTAGGGAGCTTAGAGAAACCCCGGAGAATGTGAAGACTGCTGTTGAAGAGCTAAGGAAGCTGCTAGAAGGTAAAATATATACGGTACAATTTTACGAAATTGTAGAACAATTACTTATCGGGATAAACTAACAAAGCCATATAACTAAAACATTAATAAAAACAATATTAATATCTAACCATACCGTAAAAATAATAAACCCCAAATTTGTATGAAATCTTTGTTAAAAAATTGGGAGGTCGTGAGTCTTTCCCATAATGAGTGTCTTTGATTACTCACTGGGAACTCCCGGCGTATTAATTGTAATCGAAAGAATTCAGTAGCAAACTATTTTTGCTACAGCACCGACTGTCACCTTAATATCATCTTAGAGCACAAAGCAATCTATAACGTCGGTCCAAGAATAAATTAGTATTAATTTTTAAATAAACATATGTGATAGATCATTAACCTAAACAAATCTAAGGATATGTGTGAAGGTGAAAAATAATCTTTGAGGTTTATGTTTACTGCTTCTGATGCCCCACAAGACATGATGCTCTAAACAATCCCTAATCCGGCTCTGCAAAGAGCCAATATTCTTATGGAAAGATATTGCTGATTTCCATATGTCCTAATCAGATAACCTCATACAAATTCGGTACTTACAAGGTATTGTACAATACGTTGATAACTCCTCATAGCACTAACTACAGTTTTATATGTAGCTGTGTAGCTGATGTAGCTTCCCGAAAGTGATAGAATGTTAATGATCTGATCAATATGTCCGAAGATTTGAACAAAGTTAAGGAAACTTTACCTCTTAACAATGTTAGTTTATTCTTAATGAAAAATGCTTAAAAAAATCCACCTGGTCCCTGGCACCCTGAGATGGTGTTCGAACCCATGATCTTTCTCAATCCAGGTGACTGCTCTAAGTACTGAGCTACCCAGGACCTAAAAGGATTGACGAATCTTTCAAGCACTTCTCACTTTTTCGCTACTAGATAGCTTATTCTCATCAATGTTTAGACAATCCATGCAAACAGCCGAAAGAAATATTTTTACAAATATTTAAACTTTCGATAAAGATGAAAATTTGTTCTCTATTTGATTTTTTTGATTGCGATTTTGATCAAACAAAATAATGTTAGTTTAGATAAACTTATGTATAGTTTCAAGTGGTATTGGTTAAAATTGTACCTTTGACTATAGGAAACCGTAAGAAAATGGATATAATGACCTAGTTAAATATACAATGTAATTAATAAAGCAAAATCATTGTTACATTTAGCAATTTCGATGTTTCCATTAATAATTGATTCAATCAGAAATCATACAACGTAGATAATGCATAGGAATTAAATGAAAATGCTAAAGTTATCCTTAGTGCTCGAATAAAGTACAATAAGCCCAAGATATTATCAAGGGTCAATATTAATTTACCTGAAGCAACAAACACTAAAAAAACGATACTCACTATATAGGAAGGAGGAGTATTTTACTTAACGGTTGTGGTTTGCCACTATCGTTAAGCACGAGACCACAACATCTTATTAACTTAGGGGGTACTTATTGACATCAACTATTTTCATCTAAGTAATGCCTTGTCTTTGCGTACGCTGTCGTTAAAGAATTATTTATTATAGTACTATACCATTGACTTACTATATATAAACAAATGCATCAGATTTTACAAAACATTGATTAATAAAAAAAAATAACAGAAAAAACATCTCCTGACACCTTTCATTACCATCAATTACTTAACATTAAGTTTGCGATAAAGGATAAGAAACCTTATGGAAACACTAAGTTACAAAAACATAATAAATTTAAAATAATATTGTGATTTCTCATTCGCTTCTTGGCACCCAACACGCCTGAGTCACGCCTATCCATTGTCTTAATTACACTGTCCAGCATCAAAACAAAGACCATGATAGTGTGATTGAACCTTTTGTACATATTATCTTTGTTCTAACCACAAAGATGGCACACGATTCGCCTTTTATACAGTGTATTTAACTCCCTTCTGTAATGCAAATATTAAATTTATTGTTTCAGACGATAAGGACTTGTACGTGCCTTTGGAAAGTGACGCGTGGCTCGTCAGGTTCCTGAGACCTTGTAAATTTTATCCTGAAAGTGCCTATGAACTGGTAAGTTGATATTTTTAAAGGAAATTTATTATAATCAAACTTACAATTATACAAAATGAACTTAAAAACCGGTCAAGTGCGAGTCGTACTCGCGCATGAAGGGCATACCGAAAACGAGGAAAAATTATTGAATTCTCTTTTATAGTGTTTTTTTTTTTTATAGCAACAACAGGAATATATTATCTGCGATATTCTCAACTGTCTAATTATCACGATTTATGAGATACATCCTTGTGACAGCAAAAACAATCACGTTTGGCGTATGGGTACCCCTTAAATATTCATTTTATAGAATTTGTTGTTGAAGCGGCAAAAGAAATATATTATCTGTGAAGACTTCAATAAACTATAAGAAAGTCTTTAAATAGGGTTCCCGTTTTACCATTTGGTTACGGTCCCATTAAAAAGTGTATTATAATTGTTGAATAAAAAAATATCTCTTTTATTTATAAATTGCAACGATACAATAACATGAATCTTGAGTTAAATTAATATTGTTTATACTTATTGAAATATTTGAACGACGAATGAGTGTCAGTGGCGTGTATTACACAAAATCAAATATTGACACATAAAGCAAGTTTAGTGATGCTGCATTCGCTAGACGTCTACCTACAATGTGACGACAGATAATAACTAAATATAGCATCCACTCAAACGCTTATTAAGTTACCTTGTTGCTTATGCAAACTATCTTTATGATATCTATGGAGTAGTTATAATACATCCATAATATTGGTTGCGAACTTCCGTCAATGGGGTTTATATCGCTCAAATTACTGCGTTCCGGAAATTATTTGAAGAGCCCTTTGTTACAAAAATAAATTGTTTGGTAAAATAACTTAACTCAGTCATGTAAAAATCAAAATAAACTTTTAAGCTTTTAGATTCTTTATATTGTTATTTTATTTCTATATCCTATTTTTAAATAATAATGAAAAACCTAGAATACTATATGCTCCGCAGTGCTTGGGAAGCATGCTCTATGAAAATAATATTAGAGCTCTGTTTAGTGAGCAAATGGTGAAGGTCATTGGACTATAGTATTGCCTTTAAAACAAAGGATTTGTAATAAGAGATACATATTGCAAGGTGTAGGTATAGTATTTACATTATTGTTCATTATTATTTTCTTCCAATTTTTACGTTACCTACATCTTAGTTTTTATAAGTTGAGATTGTATATACAATGACTCCACAGAAATATTTAAATCACCTTGATATCGACCTGTTGTTACAAAACTAAATGTAATGAACCTCACGAAAAAACACAATGGTTAGTTGGTTTAAACCTCCAAGCCTTTGATTACAAACTTTTTACAGATAAAGCGATACTACGCGTTCAAACAAAAGCATTATAAACATTATGATGGCTTGGTGCCGAGCAAGGAGACGAACGTGTTCAACCAGAATATCCTCACTGTGTTGCCGATGAGGGATCACCTCGGTCGGAGAGTGCTCGTTCTTGAACTAGGCAGTAAGTGAGATAAATTAATAACTCTGTCTTAATGATTTGAAATATCAAATCTCTTTGAAGTTTTGCAGAAGGACAAAAACATGTTTGATGTTTGAAGTTTTTACGATTAACTACTTAATGATCATATTAGAAACTCTTTGCATTTTAAAATCTAAATTCTTCTTATGTAGCTACATCAGTTGTTGTACTGATTTGAAAATATGTGTAATAAAAGTAAGAAAAGGTTAGCTACACTTAATAAGGATTTAAAGCTATATAACCATATTTATTAAGGTTACATTGCATTTGAAGGTTTAGAATTATTATATTTATTTAATAAACTCAAATACTTATTGAGGAGGTTTAAACATTTGTTTTTAAACTTCTAAACATATTTTAAAACATTTCAGAACACTGGAATCACAATAAATGTTCGCTGGACGAAGTTTTCAAAGGCTGCGTGTTGTTCCTTGAAGCTGCCATGTTGGAGCCAGAGACACAGATTTGTGGAGCTGTGGTCATATTTGACATGGATGGTTTGTCCATGCAGCAAGTATGGCAGTTTACACCGGCATACGCCAAGAGGATCGTCGATTGGCTCCAGGTTAGGCTAAAATAAAAAGTGAATTCACTTTTATATTAAAAGAAAATCATTAATCCTTCGATCATAAAGTAAATTGATGTCTTAGTGCCTATGATTAAATAGGCATTTAATAATAATACTGTAACAATGTGTCCTTTTGTTTATTTTACAAAATAGTAAGTGAATATTCAGTGAAATGCGAAGATTAAGAAATCCGTTGCGGCATTGTGTTTAGATATTCTAATGCTTCAAAATATTATGCTATAGATTTTAAATAAAAAGAATTTATTTTATTCCAGGAAAGCATACCACTCCGTGTAAAAGGCTTATATATAATTAACCAGCCTTACATCTTCAACGTGGTGTTTCAATTGTTCAAGCCATTCTTGAAGGAGAAGCTGCGCTCAAGAATCATCTTCATCGGATCGGATCGCGATCTACTACATAAGTATATCAACGCTAAGTGCCTTCCCGCTTGCTACGGTGGTACTGTCAACATACCGAAGGTCACAGGATCGCAGTGGCTGGAGCTCCTCCTGATGTGCGACGAAGAATTCACAGGTTGGTTTATTGATACTATTTACATTTAAAAATTGGTATCCTTTTGCTAACCATAAACCGTGTCGTGATTTATTGGACAAATTGAGGAATCCAGGTAAACAACTGCGACCGAATGCCTTGCAGATCGCCATTTTATTTCTCCTACATCTCTAACTCAACTTGGTCGATGCAGTAAAAGAAATTTTTCTCTCATGGTTTTGGTATCATCTCTATTTTTGATTTAATACAAAGTTCTCCCTCAGCTGGAGTATTTTCTTGGTAACGTTACAGAGTAAACGTAAGCGACACCGGTTAGGAATAGGGTTGAGTCCTACAAGTGAAAATAAAGGTTTCTATTATATGTTCGGGAAAATGTTAGCCATTTTAACTTGTGAATATTTAACAAAATAAATTTTGTGACACTAATTTGGATAATGTTACGTTTTGTTACGACAAATGCTCCAGCACCTTTAAGTAATCAAAGAATCCTTATTTATTATAATACAAATTCTCCTTGTGGGAGAATTTGTAGCCTCTCTGTAAGGTGTTTTTCGAGTTTATGATTTAATACTACTTTATTTTAATGCAGTTTCCACTTAATGACTAAGAAATTCACGGCAAAGTTTCTGTTTTAGAAATAATTATGATTTTCTCTGAATTATTAAGTATTACGATAAGGTAATAATCTGAAAAAAAAGAATGTCCCCAACATATAAATAATTATGGTTTCTTTTGTTTCAGCCATAAATTCCTACGGCTACAAGAAGAAATGATTTCAACAATTACCGCACAGAAAATTTGGTTTTCACATAATTCATATCTTAAAGACACTAAACTATAACAACGTTAATAGGTACTTAATATTAAAGAATTGATACATTTATTTTATTTGGAATAATCTGAAGGTTCAAGTAAAACATTTCAATAGTGTTTTAAAGTATATTCTTACAAAAAGTACAAATACACTTAGAAGAGGAATTGTGCTTGTATACTTTTAATTTGAAGCCAAGCCCTGTACTTTTAAAATCGAAATTCAATATATAATGGACTGTTTATCGTCTGTCCTGCTCCAACCAAAGTATTTTTGATATCATAGAAGAAAACAACACTAAAAAATGTACGATTATATCGATTAAAATTAGTTTTTTAACTTTTAAATATCGAAAAAGAATTAAAAAAAAATAAACAAAAGAATAACTAGAGATAAAATATTGTACCAATTTTAAAAACATAATAAATACATTCCAAATCATATGTGTATAGAAATATAACGCATATATGAATACATACCATACATTAACAAGTGTGTCACGTTCAAACAAAAACTGTTTCTTATTACTTTAAACTTGTGCCTATACCTAAAAAAATTGTATATTCTGATTGCCATTATTTTAGAAAAACTTACCTCAAAGTGCTATAATTTAGTAATAGATGATATTAACCCTAATTTGAAATATAATAGGGTGTCTTGGAGTAGTTACAAATATAAAGATATTCAAAATAAAACAAAATAACCACTAAACCAGACAAAGGCATTTGTTTCATCAAATTTAGTCTAAATCAGTGGTTCCCAAAATTGACCAGGCTCTGACCCATTAAACAAAACCTTCCAATTTTGGTACTCGTTTCTTAGTTGTCTGCTTTTATATTATTCTAATTGTTATTTTTAAAAAAATGTGGTGGTTGGAAGTGGTGAATCACCTATTAGAGCCCACTCAATATTATTTGATATTACCCATAATTATGAAATACTTGTCTATAATTGGTATTATCTGGTAAGGTAGTTATTTATAGTTTTCTGAATGTCACATTAATTACCTTAAGGCACCTTACTTATTATTGTATTCCACTTTAAACAATTGTGATAGGAATATATAAATGCCTATTACTTAAGGCTCTAAGTTTTTCTTTTGAGACTGTAGGTGAATGATTTTAGATAAAAAAAATGACAGCTTTTTATGAAAAGAGGCTGATTTGACTCTCTAATCAAAATAGGTGGCTGTGATACTCGTTTCATTGAACGTAATTAAATCCTATTTAAAAGAGAGATCGAAATTTTATTATTAAAAATATACAGTTACAAATATGTATATTATTACCATAAATTATTTAAAGATACTTTAGGAATGGTAAATAAAGATACATATATTGCTCAAATTTATTATATTTTTATATGTAATGATATTAATGATTTGTAATAATTTTAAGAAATATGTGCATCACAAGATTATATTTTAAAATGTACAAAACGTTAGAATAAGTTCTATTAGTACGAGATCCCGCTGCTTGCATCTGCTTCATTTTTGATGAAACTTATTTTTTGGCAAAATGTAGCAGCAATTATTTCCAATTAATATTTTTTGGAACTAAATTTTTTGTTGCAGTCATATGTTTTTAGTGAACCCCTTATCATTTGAAAAACAATGATAATATTTTTGGCATATTTCTTCTTCTATGTTCACTTTCAATATTTCAGAGTTTCCCTCATTATATACCTAATATTTAAAGCTTATAAATTTGTGAAACTTACAATTAAATAAAACACTGCCATTCGAAGTGGTAAAGATATCTTGTGAAATTTATGTGATCAATTTTTCTAACCAAGTATTAAAAATTTTAACGAATGAAAAATGATAATAACCACTTAAAACATATGACTGCAATTTGTCGTTACAAAAACATTTATTAGAAATAATTGCTGCTACATTTTGCCAGGCAACCTTATTCTTACTATCTAATTCATAAGAAATAGGTTTCATCAACAATATAAATAATTGCAAATGCAGCGGGATCTTAGACTATTCTATAATAATGAAAGATTTTTTTTGTCGAGTTCGCGCATTAAATTTTTTACGCGCACATTACTAATAAATGTGTGTATAAAAGTATGTAATTGGATGCGAGTTTTATACCTGGGAGAAATAATACAGATAATTAACTCCTATATTATAGGTTCATACAGTGGTATAGTATCTATGACACAAGTCAAACACTATACCTATCTAGTATTTGTCCTGGGATATATAAAAATAGTTTTGTAAATGTCAATATTAATTTTACAAACTCTAATGTGTCGACAAATTAAATTCTTTTCATAACAAAGGTATGTATGTTCCATTTATTAATTTTAAGGTGATTTACTGGATTTATCATTAAAAAGATCTGAATATGTTACTGTTTTAATAAATTTTGTATTATGTATTTATAAAGTTCCTTAAATTATTATTAATAATGGCAAATTCATCTTTAATAAAAGTCTGGTCGAAATGAGATATAAAAAAGTGATCAAATAACCAAAAACTTCAATAGAGCTCTTGGGTACACTAGTAATTAACAAATGATAATAATCCGCATAGATCTCATGTATGCTAAAACGGAGTAAAAGCATACCAGAGTCAAAAGTCAACATTTTCGGTTTTTTTTTTTCAAACTGGGGTGCGACCGCCTGACTTTATTACCAACATTCGGGCCATAGTATATGACTTAGCGATGCTGTGTCTACATTTCGTTTCTTTTTACTACGTTGACATGTACTTAGTAACGACAAACGGACTGTTATAAGGAAAATGAATTGTCACTTTTACAAAAAAATATTTTATTAAATCCACGAAAATGAATTTTAAATGTGGGCGAGTATTCTCGGATCGTGACAAGTTTAAAAATGCAATGGAAGATTGCTTATTGTCACAATCGTCATCTTTATATTCATAATAGAATATATATAACAGAATGATAAAGAATGATGATCACGGATTTGATAACACATATTATAAAGAGGAAGTATTCTATTTCTTCTTTGTTTGCATTGGCCGAAGCCTTTGGACCAATTATAAAATAATATCATCTACATGAAACTATATAATACGCGGGGCATACGCTATAATTTACGCATGCGAAATCGCGGTGAAACAGCTAGTTTGATGGAAATTGGTTCATAATTAAAGAAGAAATCGTTGAAAAGTGAACATATTGAGTAAAAATATACATACCCGTTGAATATAGAAGACTCTTCTTTCGGATTTTGATTGAATGCAAAATGCACATTCTTGTGTTTTTCCCTAATATAAATATGGCTTCTAAATATTTAGGTGATGTTTGAAGAAAAATAAATTTTGTTTTGTTTTATAATCTAAACCACTGATTCGATTTCGATAAAATTAAAATTTAAATAAACAAATTTAAATGGAAATTAACATGTCTAATAGGAAAAATATTTTGAAAATCTGTCAATAATTCACAGATGAATCAGTGGACATAAGAAAAAAAACCATGTCCGTCGACCATATAACCTCTTCGTTTTCGATTTTGAAGTAGGTTAATTTACTGACAGATAGTAAATCCGCATTACCCTCCAATCCGCATTGGGCCAGCGTGGAGGGTCATGGCCCATCCTCCTTAACCATCCATAAGGAAGGCCTGAGCCCCTGCAGTGGGGACGTAAAAGGGCTGGTGATGATGACTGACAGATAGTAGGTAGTTATAAATTTTCCATGGATTCGACAATAGTAAAGTGGAAAGTAGTCGTTAAAAAATTCCGGTGTTATATGTTAAATTGATGTGATAAATAAAAAATTATATTTATTCATAATTTATGATTTATTTAAGAAAATAAAAAAATTGTTCACCATGCCCCCGGTTCTTTTAACAACAGCATTATTTCATAGGAAATATTAGAAAAAAGTAAAAATACATTATTATTATCTCTCCTTAACTCATATAAATAAAAAATATGAATCAAACTTAATTAATTTGTACATTGTCATAAATATCATTTCAATTTATTTCAACACGTTATCACAAAAAGACAATAGGTAAATGGTACAGGGGGCCAATTCTGCTAAATAAATTTTGTTTAAATCGAATCGAAAACGGATCGAAACCGAACGAAACTACAGTTTTTAATGGTTTTTCTATTCCAGCTCAAATAGAACTGGAATTTTATCGTATGTCAATCGTATCGTATCGTAAGTTTATGGAAAACCATTAAAAACTGTAGTTTCGTTCGGTTTCGATCCGTTTGCGATTCGATTTAAACAAAATTTATTTAGTAGAATTGGCCCCCTGGTAATAAACAATGATTGCACGTATTCTATCCCAAAAACATAATAAAATTGCTATTTTTAACATGAGTTGATTGTATTTGTTTAAAACATTTCATTATTTCTTTTGATACTCTTATTGTGGGGTTATTATATAACATACGACAAGTAAACTACAAAGCTATGTTTTCTTATTATCTATATTCTATTAGAAACAGACCCGAATAAAACAGAAATTTCTTATTTACTCTCTGGAGTCGAACTATAATGCCTATGTAGTAGTAATACAGCGCTTCAATGAAATAGAAACTATTACCGTTTGAACTTTGAAGTGGATTTTATTAGACAGAGCCATTATGATGTGACAGCACTACGTTCGACGATGAATTTAAGGGTATTTTTCACATCACTACAGTACTAAAGGTATCAAAAAGAAGGGGAGTTGTAATTACTATAAATTAATATAGCCTAGTGAACTGTTTAAAAGGATTCGATTGCAAAAATTATATATAATATAAATATTACAGGTAATTAACTTTGTACAAATAATACGTATAATTTTGAATAATTTAATTGTATTTTAAAGTATGTCCTAAATAAATTGCTTAACGAAGTATAGGTATATAGTCATTCTTGATACCGAGCTGACACTATCTCCAAATATATTTTAACTCTAAACTATCTTATAATTTCTAATTACAATACTATACTGTCATAATTGTCATGGTAAAATGTTGGAATAGCACCTACCTACTTAATTATGTAAATATCAAGAGATTATATTTTAAAGTTATTAAAACAGATAATACAATTCCCATTTCGCTCTTCCAGTTAATCTTTTCATCAATCGGAAGACTCCAATCACGATTTTGTCTTGTTTTTATTGACGTATCCATAAGTGCTCGTCACTGGAAAAGAAAAGTTCATAATTTTCATTAGGTTTTTTATTACAAATTACCAACATTATAAATGACAACCTCCGTAGCCGAGTGGTTCACGCCGGTCTCAAGGTGTCGCCATGTTTGAGGTCCCTGGTTCGATTTTCGGTCGGGTCAATGAAGAAAATGAACTTTCCTATATTGTCTCGTGTCTGGGTGTTGTGGTACCTCCGTTGTCTCAGATACTCCATAATACGGGGGACGAAAAAAATAACAAATCCATTTTAAAACTACATAGATAAATTCTAAACATGGATTAAAGCGTTATGCATGTTGTCAACTGGCCAGTTGGAACTGGTTTTCAAAAATCTAGACGGACAATTTACAAATCCACACGGGTAGCTTGGTGATAGGCGTAGTGAATAAGCGTCGCGGCCCACGGTTGTTGTTGTTAAGCAACTTGCCCAAGGATCGGTTATGAGATGGATGAAAAAATTATTATCTCGAGAGGCATGTTAAGCCTTTGGTCCCGGCCACATTTGTAGTCGTCAATCATATTGGCAAGGCTGTATAAACATTACCAGTCGTATTTACTTAATAAAAATTACTAGTCCAATTTTAGTTAGAACAATACGTATCTGTAAAATATAATTATTTTCTATAAGTACCTACAGGAAAATGTAACCAGTGCACACAATTTTAATATTCTATTTGTAATCTAGCTTTCCGCCAGCGGCTTCGCTCGCGTGGTACACGTATACATATAAAATAAATCTTCCTCTTGAATCAGCCTGTAGATACGAGTATATTGATTAAAATCGCATTAAAATCCGTTGTGTAGTTTTTAAAATCTCAGCGCATAGACAGCGGGAAAAGTCTTTGTTTTATAATAATAGATATAAGTATTAGATATTACTGCAACTTTCTGTCGCCAGATCGCAGCACTAGCACAAGTAGTAAACAAAACAGTTTTTATAAAAATTCAAAACACAATACGTTCCTATTGTATGAGTTGTTCGAAATAATCGAATTAAATACAATTGGTCGACTATTACTCGTAATCTTCTAAAACGAACTAAAAAAAGTTTTCTTTTTAACTTCGTTGTATAAAAGTGCTACTTCCGTAACATTTGAATTTAAACCAACGACCGTTTAGTTGGTAGAATGGGTGGACACTTGACTCTAATGAAAATTAGCTCTTTATGGCTTAATAAGTCACAAATGGTTTACTAAATCTAAAAACGGCCTTCCCACTACCTCAATGTTTTTTAAGATCTATCCAACAATGCTCCACACTATGGAGATGACGAACAAAAATTATCATGCGCACTTTACAGGTAGGAGCTACACAAAAAAAAAATTTTTTTTCGAAATTTAAATTTACCACTTTGTCGACGGAATTAACGTGTAACATGCCAAATAAGGAATTTCTACATCCAAAAGTTTTTGAACAAAGCGCGAGCGGACAGACAGACATGATGAAACTATAAGCCTTGTTTCCTACGGAACCCTAAAGTACTGTACTGCTTCGAAGCTCACATGTATCAAATCAAACTTACTTTTGAATTGATCTTCGTAATGAAGTAGACATTTTATCAGTAAATCTGCAGGTACATCAGGCTCTGGCAGAATACCACCGTGTCTTTTTCTAAGTGCGGACTCGTCGATGTGAGCGAGCAACGCAGTCTTATTGCTGCCGTGGAAATGGATGCGGGAACGCAACTTCTCTCTCAAGAATGGTTTAAATATTGCGAACAGCATATTGAATAAATACGGTTGGTTAATTACGTGGACCGCCTTCAAACGAATCGGGACGCAATCCTGGAAAACCATAAAATTTAATTGTTATTATTGTTTTTCGATTGGCCTTTGATATTGCGAGAGGTGTTATTGATTACTCTCGCATGCTTGTGTTGTTGTTATTTCTAGAATTCTGATACTTGAAATTGGAAGTATATTAACTTAAGCGGCTATCACATTATCAATAATAACCTACAGACTACAATATCAGTTTCTTGAATAATTCGAGTTTAAAATAAGTATTATTTGTCACTTTTTAAAAGTATGAAATCGGATTTAGTTTTTGAAAAAAGTTTTTATGTTGTATTGAGTAGTAGACTACCTTTATTTTTTTTTAGCTAACATGACTATGTCACTTAATAACCTACAGATTACAATAGCAGTTTCTTGAATAATTCGACTGTTTAAAATAAGTATTATTTGTCACTTTTTAAAAGTATGAAATCGGTTCTAGTTTTTGAAAAAAGTTTTTATGTTGTATTGAGTAGTAGACTACCTTTAATTTTTTTTTAAGCTAACATGACTTTGTCACTTATGAATACGCCATTTACATTAAAGCTTAGGATTTAACCGCTTAATAATCGTGTTAAAGTTAATAATTATTCATAATTACTTGCTGATTAACGTAATTATCTAATAACTTGATTACTCTGTTATAATTCAAAGTCATTATTGCGTGACCTGACCTGTCTGTGCAAAGGTCTCCGTTTTATTTCTCAAGTGTCTTAAGAGAGAATTCTTATTTATAGAAAATGTTACTTCCTACTAGATACATCAACTGAGAATTCAGTTCGTATACCAAAAAATACAGTCGAATTGAGAACCTCCTCCTTTTTCTTGAAGTCGGGTAACAATAAAAAGGACTTTTGATCTACAATATTTAATTAATTGAGTCAAAAACTAGGTGCATAAGAAGTCTTTAGAGGTATTTTTATACGTCTTTTTTAAGATTAATAATATGAAGAAAAGATCTGTTAAATGCATAGTATATGACTAATAACTATATTTATTTATAGTAAAATATATAATTGTAAGCATTGACTTATAATCTAATGAGACTGATATTATACTGACAACTTTGTAAAATTTTACGGGTAATACTTTGGACTTCTAATCTATATTCATCTCAATCGATTGAACCGTCGAACACAACACTATCGTAGCATTAGGGCTTTAATCAAACAAAACCTTTATTACCTTTTGGAACAGATTATATTTGATTGACCTTCTAATGCTACGATAGCACTGTTTTCGATGTTGTATGTATTTTTAACAGAATAACACTGCTCTAAGGATAACTAATACACAACCACATCAATGAATTACTATTACCATCCTCTACAATATAACATAGATCAGGATAGAAGTTCCTATCAGGTGTAGTTTCACTATGGAAACTCGGCTAGACCCTGTCTGAATCACCTGTATCCAGTCAACCATCATCTTCGCAAAAGAAGGCGTAAACTGCATGATCTGGGCAAAGCTTAAACCGCGCATGTCGAGAATGGTCACCACGCCGGAGATCTGAGTGCGCGGCTCCTCTAACGCCGCTTCCAATGCCACCTGCACACCTCGGAACATCTCAGTCAACGTCACTACACGAGGATTCCAGCGTTCTGCAAATATATGAGATTGCTATGGAAATATTCATTTAACTATTATCGCTCAGCTGTTTATCTGCCTGCAATATATCGACACTATTTTTGTATCACAGAATCGGGCCTCCACCTGAAACTTACAGCCGAGTTACTTATTATATTTCTATTGCAGCACCGAGTTTTGATTTTCCAAGATTCTGGTTAATAGAAACATTCCAAACTAATTCTTAGGGACACGTATGGCTTATTATAATCGGCCAGAAGTTATTACCTATCTCTTTTTTGCATAAATTTAAGACTCATGCGAAAAATATTCTCACGAGTAAAGGTCAAGTTTTATGTAATGACGGTCATGGGTTAATGATTTAAAGTCTAAGCGGACTCATTTGTTTATTTATATTTCAACTCTTGTCGTCTATCATATTGTTCATTTCATAATATTGATATTAATTTATTTGGTAATGACAAAGTCTATGTTGATGTTTACTACGGCTAAGAGCTGATAAATTTCTTGCTGTCATTCTCCTTTTCATACAGAAGAAATATTATACGGAAGTAGACATAAAATTTTAGGTGACACAAAAGTGCTTTCGATTAATAGCTGTACTATTTATATATTAAAAGATCACATGATATTAGGAATTTAGTTAGAAACAATTTATATTACCGGTTGAACCGCGTAAAACTCTATTATGTGACCTATCTTATCGATTGCTTCATTGAACGTGAACTATGTAGGACATAGCAGATATACATAGTACTTATTACTAATATTGCAATACCTAGTACCTAAAGGTAATAATCATGAATTCAATAAAGTTATAAAATAGACAACAAATGTTAATGACAAATTTGCAATCTCAAAACGATGTGTATACTCAAAATCAACGGAATCTATTTTGTATTCTTTTACCGAAAAGAGAAGTTGTATTATTATTTTAGCTTTTGCATTCGATAGGATCAACCGCAGAAGAGCTTGATCGAGTTTGACTCGTCTTAAGATACTTTGACGACGCCTTGGTCTGGAATGGCACTAAGGCCGAGATCGTACTCGTTTTGGACAAGGTTGAAAACGCAAAATCGCATAGATCGCGGCTCGCTTTTCCAGTCGGATAACGCGTGCGCTTCTATAGAAGGCTATCGACGGGTTTCTGAATTGAGAAAAGTACTAAATCTCAACTGATTATTCTAAATTCACTTAAGTTTATTACTAGATTTGATCAATTTTACATTCACAATGCTATACTGGAACATATAGTTAATGATAATCCCAAAGTACTCTTGAGCTCGGACTCGGCCTACCCAGGACTAGGGAATGCAATCTCGCGAGATTGGGACGCGGGTGAGATCTCGCGAGTTTATGAATATCAATACCGCGAGATCTCGCCAATTACGAGATCTCGCGAGATTGACACTTTTGTGTGTTTACTGTTTTATTATAATATCTATTCAACTCACAATATTTGAATAAATTAGAAAAAAATATAGATATTATGAAATAAACACATTTTAAGGGTATTTCCATTAAGTTTTATGTATTTGATATTCGTTGACGCAATTATATTTTTTTATCTAAAACCTTTAAAAGAGCAATTACAGTATTATAATCTCGGAAACGGCTCCAACAATTGCAGGGGGTTTCAGAGGCGATAAATCGATTTAGTTAGTTAGGTTTATTAATTTTTTATTTGATAAAAGTGCCAAGTAAAGCTACGTCATCCAGGTACTAATCTTTTAAGAAACTAAACTTTGACGTTAAATACGTCAAAGTTACATCAAATACAAAATGAAATAATTAAGCAGTCTTCTCCGCTAATACCAAATTTAAAAAAGTTTAATTACGAGTATAATACACAGTTTTTATAACAAAAACTAAAATAAATTCATTAACTAAGTTGAATTGACTATTTAACTTTTATCTATTTAAGATTATTATCAATGAAATAAAACTTTGTGTACCCAGAGATCTATTGGAAGTTAGAGAATAAATTAACAAAATATACCAATCAATTTAAAGCCTTATTCAGTTTATTTCACACGTCATTATTACAAATAATTTTGAAAGTAGCTTCTTAAGAAGCACAAAATGTCCAAAGAATCTTATTATTAATAAGAATCTTATATATAGCTATTCGTCTTATTATTGTGCTGGCCACAAAACCAGCCACCGAGAAGACCCTTTCGAAAACACAAGTAGTGTAAAAGTGTAAAACTTCGCCTTTTAACCCCCGGAATCGCATAAATTCGTGCTGCCACACTTAGAATAAATCGAAAATTAGAATTTTTATGCTCGTTATACATTTTTAATTGATTTGCGTTTTAATCAGAAAAATAAATATTATATCATAAAAAGAAAGAGTAAACACTCTGGTTACAAATTATGAAAGACATTTGTCAAAGATGTCGTAAGTAACAGAAAGGACAATTCGAGTTTTGTTCCTACGCTCAACCCTACATCATCATCATCATAATCACCAGCCCTTTTACGTTAAGGAGCCTCCTCCTTATTTGAAAATCTATATGAGACTGAAACTCCGAAACTTCGGCGTTTAAATTAGGAGCATCAAAACCTTAGTATGGATGGATCTTAAAAAATACGACGATTTGATTTCGATGGGAGCCCTCGTGTTATTATACATATTACATATCAGTGTTATTTTACCGCTTGAAAAGCTTCATTATTTATACGCGGGCATATACACAAATGACAAGGAGAAAAAATATAATAATGTTAGACATCAACATTTTAATTTAAGTTGAACTGTTGATCGAATTCTAACTCGTTTGAGTAAAAGCAGGTATTAAACATGCATTAATTCATTATACGTCTAGTCAACGACATGTGTTCATGTGCGTCCGTGTATGCTGGGGTCAGTTTTTGACATCGTATTAGTACTCACATGAGCTATCTACCCTTTTTTATTGTAACATCATTGGGTGTATATATTACAAACGGCAAAGTATTAGATTTGTGTTGTTTGACCAGTGTTGTTATAATGCACCAAAGCCACCAGAAAATATAAAATAACTAATAATAAAATTTTGAGCGAGCATTACCAGATTCAACGAGAAGAATCCTTCTTCCATGTTGGTCTCGAGGCGACAACACAGATACGATGGAATTCTCGAAGGTTGAACGGACCGAATCCGGACAGAGATCATAGCAGTGCTGTGAATGCACCTTTCTGAACTTGTAATATGCTTTTATCTGCAAAAATTAAAACCTACGTTACGATTAAATATAAAAGACATGCCATTTTAAACGTTAGAATAATTGCCAAACCGATATTATCCATACAGGTTATAATGTATTCAAAAGCTGGATTTTTGCAGATCAGTAGATCTAATAATTTGCTGTTCATTATCTGTAAATCATCACAGTTAATTTATTTTATAGAATCATAATATAAATGTTCTTTTACTGTTATTTTTAAACTTACCCTCTTAAAGGCACTTTCAGCGTAGAATTTGCATGGACGGAGGAACTTCATCAGAAAATCATCGTTGTCAACCGGAACTAATAAATCTGTTTCCCCTACAAAAAAAATGAATTGTAATTTTTCTCTATATCGTTAGCACTATTAGTCTCTGTGTGTTCAAGAGAAAAAAGCAGCCCTGGCTGAGTTTTTTGCCGATTCTTCTCAGTACAAGGCCTCCCGCCATAGATTTGCGAACTGATGGCATATTTTTCGACATTAACAAGTGTTTGTAAAAACAGATTAGACTGAATAACTGATATTGGATTAGAATTGATCAGTTTATATTCTAATGGCACAAGTATAAAAAAAGATATTTTCGTTAATTTTTCACAGTGAACAAAGAATCCAATGGCAATCAAAAATTGCACTGGGCCCGAGTGGGTCATGTCCCGTTCTCCTTATACGATTCCATCCTTACGGAACGCCTGAGCCCCACTAATGGGGACATTAATAGTACGATGATGATCTACTACAGCTCTATATGACACAGTTCCTGTTACTAGTTACACCATTGATATGTGAGGCAGACATTGCACTAATAATATTTCACTTTAGGTAGATAGTACAATGAGAAAATGCAAGGAATTAAGATGCGATTTTTTTTCTTTAATATGGACTTGTTCCGTTAGATGCGATTATTACGTTCTGCCCGCGTAGCATGACAAACTCGAGAATATTTTGTATACACCCAAATGTCACTTTTCTTGAGTGCGCCCATACAACATCTAACTCAAGCCAATAAAAAGTGACATTTGTGTAGAGAAAGTGATCCTCGTGTTTGTTATACTACCGGTGCTGCGCGACATTCTGAACTAATTTTTTTACAGATAGCATTAATTTTTCTTATATATTCTATTTAAATCATAATGTATAGAAATTAAAATTGCAAAAATTGGTAATAAGTTTATATTAATTTATCAATATAAATTTATAATTATCTTTATAATAAATTTATAATTATAATTTATAATCATGTAATCAATCATTAATGTAAATTGTTAACTACTCATTTCTATTGCAAGCAAAAGAAAATAGATAAGTACATCGATAATTTTCTACGATGCGATGAAGACTGACTGTCAAAGCTACATCAAACGTATAACTTCTCATTGAATTTTCAAGATTATTTAAAATAGAATTATTCGTATTTTCCACCATATTTAAAATATAAATATTCTTATTTTTCATTCACATTCTCAATTAATATTTTACAAATAGGTAACTTCCGAAACAACACACAATTCCGTTTAGTTATACTAAGACAATAGTGTCAGCAGATTACCAATTCAATTTATATGGCTTACTATGCACTAAGTTTCTTTATAATAGAGAAATAGATATTCAAACGTCATCGTTTTCCTTAAAAACAAATAAAGAATGCTCTTTAGGTCACAGACTTATTTTATGTCAACCAGATTTAAACTCAAATCAATCCAGTACCTACTAGTTTTGGAGTAAATTAGATATGACATAAGGGCAGACACAAAGCTTGAGATAAGGACTTTGTTTGTCTTATTATTTTAGTACAGTAAATTAAAAATAAGTGCACAGAATAGGACAACTCTTTCTGAATCAACACAAATTTATACATAAATTATGTTGCAAATTTAAGTCTCAAGTTGTAGAAATAATAATAATGTCATTTCGTCGAGTCATGATGCAATATTTATCTGAATTTAAACAAGAGCAGTAAACTTCAAACAGTCTTTATATGCTTATAAAAATTGTTTTTCTTATACTTAACAAAATTCTCATACGCTTACTAATTAGTAATCATAATTTAATCCAGTACCATTATGGCTTAGTGACACTGGTCAATGTAATTAAGCCAATCTTAGCCAAACTATGTCAGCACGCGGAGTCAGTCGACCTCTGTACAGATATTCTGTGCCTGCGGGCTCATCTCATTGGTCAATAAAACAATAACTCGAGAAACAATGAAAGCGAGGAAATAAAATCGTCAGCACGCTGCACGCAGATGTCACAGACCAGTGTAACAGAGCCAATAAGTTTATTGAATACTAGAACCCTTTTTTACGAAAATTGCTCAGACGGATGAGTACGAAATTTGACATAGTCAAAGTTGATATGACAAGTCAAGCGTAAAAAGGTAATATTACTTATAATACTGGTAATGCTTAAAACTGAATTAAATTAATTTTAAAAATATACACAACTAATATCCTCCGTTCGACACTTTTGTTTGAATACTTAAAACAAACAATCATAAAAAAGTATAAGGTTTTAATAATAATACTTTTCAATGCAGTTGCTCATAAAGCGCTATTTTTTTAATCCATTGTAAACATCGAAAGTGAATCTTTAATCTCCGGGCTACGGGAGGCCACCACAACCGACTGACCCTGGCGACGTACAACGGACGCACGCTACGGCTTGACTCGCATCTGGCTCAACTTGAGGTGGAGCTTGGAAAGATTAGGTGGCACATATTGGGATTGTGTGAAGTCCGAAGAGAGGGGGAGGATACCATAACCCTCGAATCAGGCCACCTAATGTACTTCCGCGAGGGAGACCAACAATCCCAAGGTGGCGTTGGGTTTCTTGTCAATAAGTCCCTTTCTGACAACGTTGTAGAAATTTCCAGTTTGTCGAACAGGGTGGCGTACCTGATTGTAAAGCTCACTAAGAGGTATAGCCTCAAGGTTGTTCAAGTGTACGCACCGACCTCGACACACTCGGACGATGAAGTGGAGAATATGTACGATGATATATCGAGGGCACTCCACTTCACTACTAAGACCCACTACAGCGTTGTTATGGGGGACTTTAACGCTAAAGTGGGAGTACAAAATTGCGGCGAATCGGTAGTAGGATCCCATGGATTTGGAAGCAGGAATGATAGGGGGCAAATGCTCGTTAACTTCCTCGAACGGGAGGGGCTCTTCCTTATGAACTCGTTCTTTAAGAAACAGCCCCAAAGGAAGTGGACGTGGCAAAGCCCCGACAATGTGACAAAAAATGAGATCGACTTCATTATAACGGACAAAAAGCACGTATTCAGAGATGTCTCCGTGATCAATAGGTTTAACACCGGCAGCGATCACCGACTTGTCCGAGGCTCTCTGAATATCAACTTCAAAGCTGAACGTGTCCGCTTGATGAAGGCCAGGCTCCGACCTACTCCTCTCCAAACCATGATGGAATCTGAAACGTTTCAGTCAAATCTTGAGAACCGATTCGCTGCCATGGAAACCACAATTGACGTTGACGAGAACCTTGAAAATGTGGTTCGAATACTCAGGGAAGAAGGTACGAAATTTTGTAGCATGCAGCGTAAGGGCGGGAAGTCTAAGCTCTCCGATAGAACTTTGGGGCTAATGAAGGAACGACGTGAAAACCCACCTGTCACTTCGTCAGGAAAACGTGCTCAAAACCAGGAGATCAGCAAACGCGTACGATATGACCTCCGGTGCTCCAATACTCACGCTATAGAAAGAGCGATCGAGCAAAACAGGGGGTCAAAAGTATTCGTACAATCTCTTGGAAGAAGCCACTTGACGAAGTTGACCACAGCAAGCGGGGAAGTCGTTGCTTCGAAGCCAGCGGTCCTCTCGGAGGTGGAAAATTTCTATGCCCGGCTATACGCTTCGCATGCATCTCGACCTGATCCCGGAAATGAGGATACTAGAGCCACATTAACACGCCACTACACCGAAGATCTGCCAGAAGTCAGCATTGGCGAAATCGAGATCGCTCTGAGACAGCTTAAAAATGGAAAAGCCCCTGGAGAGGATGGCATTACAACTGAATTATTAAAAGCAGGAGGTAAACCGGTACTGAAGGAGCTCCAAAAGCTTTTTAATGCCGTCCTCTTCGAAGGGAGAACTCCGCAGGCGTGGAGTAGGAGTGTAGTCGTCCTGTTCTTCAAAAAGGGAGACAAAACCCTGCTGAAGAACTATCGACCCATTTCCCTTCTAAGCCACGTCTATAAGCTGTTTTCTAGAGTAGTCACGAACCGTCTTGCGCAAAGACTTGACGAATTCCAACCACCGGAGCAGGCTGGGTTTCGGAGTGGATACGGCACCATAGACCACATCCACACAGTGCGGCAGATTATACAGAAGACTGAAGAGTATAATCAGCCCCTGTGTCTAGCATTTGTGGACTATGAGAAGGCCTTTGACTCGATTGAGATCTGGTCCGTTCTGGAGTCCCTGCAGCGATGCCAAGTCGATTGGCGATACATCCAAGTGATAAGATGTATTTATGAGGCCTCCACCATGACCGTCCAAGTACAGAATCAGCAAACAAGTCCTATACCGTTGCATCGAGGAGTGAGACAAGGAGACGTTATGTCTCCGAAATTGTTTACTAATGCAATGGAGGATATGTTTAAGACGCTGAACTGGAAAGGACGTGGCATCAACATCAATGGCGAGTACATCTCTCACTTGAGATTTGCTGACGACATCGTCATCATGGCAGAAAATCTGCAGGACCTACAACAGATGCTGAATGACCTGGCTGACTCTTCTATGCGCATCGGCCTACGGATGAACTTGGATAAAACCAAGGTCATGTTCAACGAACACGTACTACCGGAACCGATTGCAGTATGCGGTGCCGTTCTCGGAATTGTTCCAAAATATGTATACCTCGGGCAAACATTGCAGTTAGGTAGAAACAACTTCGAGAGCGAGGTAAATGGAAGAGTTCGGCTAGGTTGGGCAGCGTTTGGGAAACTACGTCAGGTCTTTACATCGTCGATCCCGCAGTGCCTAAAGACAAAAGTCTTTAATCAGTGCGTCCTACCCGTTATGACATACGGAGCCGAAACGTGGACACTGACGGCACGGCTGGTCCACAAGTTGAAGGTCGCTCAGCGCGCTATGGAAAGGGCTATGCTCGGCGTTTCTCTGCGGGATCGAATCAAAAATGAGGTGATCCGGCAGAGAACCAAGGTTATCGACATAGCCCACCGGATTAGCAAGCTGAAGTGGCAGTGGGCTGGCCATATTAGCCGCAGAACCGATAACCGTTGGGGTAAACGAGTTCTTGAGTGGAGACCGCGTCTCGGCAAACGTAGTGTAGGACGTCCTCAGGCGCGGTGGAGCGATGATTTGCGCAAGATGGCTGGCAGGAGCTGGATGCGAACAGCCGAAAATCGAAATAGATGGCGTGCAATTGGGGAGGCCTATGTCCAGCAGTGGACGAATATGGGCTGATGATGATGATGATGATGATGAATCTTTAAACACGTGTTAAATAGAAATGTACTGAAATCCTTTACTGCACACGTGCTTAAAAGTATTTTTTTAATTTTTTTTGGCCGAGCACCAAAGAAATTTAAAAAAAAATTGATGAAAATATGTCAAACTTTAGAGGCAAAAGTATTTCAAGGAGCCTAGAACGAATATTTTCAAATAAAAATGTATGACACGAAAACATGTTCAAATATCACGTTTAATTTTAACAAATAATTTTTACCTTTAATACATACTTAGTTTATATTAGCCTATAGGATATTTGTTTTATTTCCTCGCAAAAAGCATTGAAAAATGTTGTAAGAAACTTGAACGTAAAAGGTTTTCCGAATTCGTGCCAATGAATGGCCCTTATTCGTAAAACCTTACTTTCCGCACTCGTATCTTAAATAAATAACTATTATAATTTCAAAATTCGACAATTGGCTACTACTAAATTTAAAATATTTACTTGTTCACAAATAAAATTATACGTATACATACATATGTGGTTGATATGATTTTTTGTGTAGAGAAAATTTATAGTTACAATGACATGGTTTTTAGTAATATGATGTAATTTCACATATATAGAGCATTCTTTCTTTGTATAAAGCTAGTTAATAGTATGCGATTTTGGGTACACGCGCCCTCTTAATTATTATCGAACCCGCGAACATCGTACCGTTTTTAAATCATAAAGCTTCTCTTAGTTTGGCAATGCTGCGATTATGTGAATGACATTTATTCATGTGTACAACACAATCACAACTAAAAGGTGCGAAAAATGTTTTTTATAATTTTTTAGATTGTTGTAATTCGTCTTCCTTCTGCTATTATGGGTGGAAAAAACATCCAAAAAATAAAATAATCTCACATCAGCCGGTAATGAATATATAAATGATGATACTAAGTGATTTTGCAAATTTGTTTACTGTGGCATTGTTTACCTGGCGTATAAAAACATAGTCACGCCACTTAACACGAAAATTGTGGTAATTCATAATGTATTTACGTCGACTACGTTTATTATTTTTTTATGTTTTTATTCTTATGCTTTTCTCGTTTATGGATACTGAGAATTAGACGAAGAGATTGCTCGAGTGAAGAGGACCAGCTATTGAAGACCGATAAGAAGACCAACCATTAGATGGCGGGATGATATCGTTCGACAAACAGCACGATATTAAGGTACGATGACGAAATCGAGGACATTTAGTCTAGAGGTACATCCAAAAATCACTTTTCTAGGGTGCGCCAATATAATATCTTACTTTCGACCCGAGAAATATGGCATTTATTGTGCAGGACGGGATTGGATGTTTATTACCTAAAATCGCCTGAAATAGAGGAGATTGGAAGAGCTCAGACGAGGGAGAGAGAGGTGTCAAAAATTTACATAGAAGAAGCTGATTCTATAGATGGACACTTCTCGCCAATATTAACCTTTTTGATTCCGCTTTTTATGAGAACTAAGAGATTTCATGTAGATTCTGAATTATAACAAACAATACGATCTGCATGGACGAGTGGCTCGTACGTCGCTTTCAAGGTGTTACCAGCTCCAGAAAGCCTAGGATAAGGAATGCGATTTATTTCTATTTTAGTACAGTACATCAAAAATCTCCACAAATATAAATTAAGTTGCAAATTCTTAAAGACTCTGAGGTCCCCGGGTTCGATTCTTGGATCAATGTATGTCTCAAGTCTGGGTGGTTTGGATTACCAAAAATGAATTTTAGCTTATTAAATTAGCATCCAAATTAGAATACAACAAAAAAGCGGAATCCGAGCAACGTATGTGATGTTGTCTCATACAAAAATCAACAATTAACACGCTGGTGTCAGGTACCACCAATTTTGAGTGTCCTATAATGACTCGGCCACGGCTTCCCAGGTCTCATTTTCTAAGAGAAGGTGCACCCTAGCAGTGGCATTTATAAACAAGGTTTAGTGTTAGAGTAAATTTACGCTGAAACTGCGCTTAGTATTTGGAGTAATACAAAATCTACTCTGACGCTAAACTTTGTTTATTAATAGCACTGTAGGAGTTTTAATGAGTAGGCTTCTGGGGACCCACCAGACAGCTCACTGCCGGCCACCTGTTGCTAGCCAGGTAACAGAGACAGTACTAAACATATTTCCTCGACGTACAAAAATAGGTACCACCAATTTACTCTACTTAATTTGGTACAATGTTATGTCTTGTTATTACCTATGTTCATTTATTTACATAAAATCTCTATCAAAATTGAAATATCTTGTGTTGGCACACTTACAAATTATATACAAAACCATATTTAGTAACATAATCATAAGAGCAATGCACACTAATTGTTATGTACCTACTGCATTACATTAGTTTCTGCTCTAAATGATAACATGCGAGGTCATATCACTCTTTCATTCAACTGGTAATTTATAGTTTTATAGGCAAACAAGGATCTATTATTTAGTGTAATATGTACTTATATAACTTCAAAAAACGCCGAAACTACTATAGATTTTTCCGGATACTCGAAAAATATCAGTTGTCGGTCGTTAAAGTTAACTTTGGCTAATAATTACAAATGAACTTTGATTTATGATTTTCAATTTTTATCTCTTTTTAATAACAACGGTGCCAATTCCACTCCATAACTAAAACATTTTTAAATATTTAGTTAATATCGTAAATAGAGCACATTACAAAAAAAACGTAATTAAAACAAAATTTACGCTGAGATTGCACTTAGTATTATTACACAGAAACTTAGCAAAGATTAACCTCGTTTCTACGGCGGTAATATTTACTCCTAGAAGGTAGTGGGTTTGCTTATTCTCTGTTTAATATGATTTTGGACTAATACTAAAATTGCAATTTTAAGGTAAATTTAATCTGACGCTAAACCTTGTTTATTAATAACACTGTAGAGTCGCGTAACACTAAAAATAAGTATGTACCACTCGGTGACCAATTAAAGATACCACTATGTCATTGTAACCCTATTTAAAAATTCATACAGACTTATTATCTACTGATAAATTGTTATCACAAAAATATAACGACATCATTATTAAGAAATATTGATTAGGTAAGTATATAAAGTTAATTGAATGAGAATTTATGAGAAAGAATGTCATTGCTTTAACGAGTTTATATAATAACATTGGTTTCACTAAAAAATGCAACAGCGCGATAGCACAGTTGTAGATATTTTTAAGGCATGGTTTTAAGGTTATCACAAAATGTAAAACATTCACAAATTACTTTGACAACAAACTGAGATTTCCATTCGATTATTTGATTATAATATTATATATTTTTATTAAATTATCGTACAAAAGTATTTTCCAATAACAAAAATCAGAGGAAAGTCCCAAATTATTTATATGTTATGCAATTTCATGGGATTACAAAAAAAAAAAAAATATTCAACGCCATTTCTTAAGTGTTTGTTTACCGGAAGTCTTCGTTACATGATAACTGTTATTGAAGTAAACAATTGTTAGCAACAGTTTACCTACCTCTTAAAAGTTGCCTAAGTTCCTCCAACGCAGCCTTCACAATCTCCGGTTCCTCTCGTAGTTCTATCGCGGCTTTTTCTTTGTAAGTTTGCTCGGTCAACGGAAAGTTTTCTAGTTTTATTTTATTTTTGCCCCACATCACGAAAGGTGATCCATCTGTGTCAATCTCTAATGCCATTTTAATATAATTTGTATTATAAATTTACAATATCTCCTTTAAAATAAGACTCGTTCTCTTTCACAGTGTTATCCCAGACGCACTCTAGAATCAACTAAAACATCTTAGTTCTCAGCTATTTCGTAAATCAGTCCCTTCACTTGCATTTTTACTTCGTAACACGACACCGATACGCTTTGCTTTGACAGTCCGACTAAGCTTTTGTGAATTTGACGCGAAATTGATATTTAATCACTACACAGACATTTGATTTTTAGCGATGTGTTTATTAATTGTTTGAATTGCACAGTGTCAGTGTCAATTGACCGCGAACAACCGACTGACACTGTCTGACACAGCGTCGGAATCGTAACGGTTGGTATATCCCACCAGGCGCTTACTGCCAGTCATGATTCTGAGTTGGTACAAGTTCTTGTTTACGTCATCGTATACCAGCTCTCGCTTATAATGTGCACAGGTTTTTTTTTATGAAACAAAATGATTATGTCGTCACACAATTTTATATGAGTACGAATACCCATTATATTCTTACGAAACTGCCGGTTGCTATACAATGATGGTCGCCATGTACGCATAAAGCCACAGTTTAAAAGATACTTTGTCATTAATTGAATGTTGAAATGATTCTAATATAATTTCACCTCTGTTTTATTGGTACACGATAAGATTAGTTTATAATTTTTCTAATGATAAAGTTTCACGTTTTAGTATTTTCGTTAAAAAAGGAGGGTGATTGACTATTTTTTATTAGAGACGAATAGCTTTAAAACCCCGTAAGGTTAATAAACAATACATTGAAATGAAAAAAAAGAAAACAAAGATTGATATTTTAGAATAAAATAAAGTTTTGGACCCGTTTTTAAGAAAATTGCAGTGAAGTTTGAATTTGGCACAGTTAAAGTTTAAATGGAGAAGAAAGGCAGAATGCTATTGATATTTTTTATAGTAATTTTAAAAAATACACTAAATACTTTAATAAAAAATATTACACACAGTACCAAGGGTTTTACATTTTGTTTACTGAATGCAAATAGTGAATATATACAAATATATATATAAATGTATAAGGAAAACTGAATGTAAAATAATCATACAGAAGTGTAGTCCTTGACCATAAAACCTAATTGTTAAAACTATATGGTCTATTTGCTACCGCCCAGCGACAACTAATTTTAGTAAATAACAATAAGAAAACGTCGCAGAGGTCATTTAGATATGTGCATAATATTTTAGATTAAATTCCATTCAATACATAATTAAAACATTAGTTGGATATTAAGACAAAACTGTCTGCATTTTAGTTGGACTTAGGGTTGCCATCATACTATAATATAGTAGATGTTAGCTGTAGGTGTCTGCTCTTCGGAGTTGATACAGGGCGTGACGAGGCTGGTCTTCTGTGGCGCAGCGACCTATGGGGAGGAGGATCCACTCCAAGGATTCTGCCCGATTGTTTCCTCCCAACACGATGGGTAGGGGACCGGAAATTGCTCAGTTGCGCATCTCTGGTCTCTAGCCTGGGGCAGCTTGACCGGTTTGCGCACTGATTAGGCATTGCACGCTCCCGCCTAGTCGTGAAAGTGCACCTCGAATATCTCTGAGGTGTACCCCCAACCCGCGGAGGGACCTGCCCTTTTCAGGGCTAGCCGAAATGGAGGCAAACCGCGCGTTATATGGCCTCCGGGCCAATCTCGTGCATCGCTTTCCATGCTAGATACATCGCTAAAATTTAGTGAGTAAACTCCTGCTTCTTGTCTAGCCCCCTCGAGGGTGGGGCCGCAGGAAGAGTCCCATATAATCCACCGACCCCGCGCTGGGGGGAGCGGGCATGCGTAACGCATTTCTCGGCATAAAAAAGTAGGTGCTAGCTGCCTCAAACACGAGTTACTGTAGTTCATAGAGATAAATAATTGAACAGGTAATAATAAATAAATAAATAAGCTGAGTTTAATATAGAAAAACAGATAAATAGTAGCTATTATACTACCGACATAGAGTAATATTTTGTTTTTACCATGGTTGCTATGTCAGATCTCTCAATTACTAGCGCTAAAAATTGCTCAATTAGTAATTATAACTGGGCAATTGTAAAGTCACTCATACATAGGCAATAACATAGATATACGACAGAATATTAATAGATATACGATGCACGTACAATCACAGCTCTTAATTATAAGCTATGACATGAAAAGGAAGTGCCTGTGTATTCATATCTCTATGACATGTATTTATATAGGCATTTAACCCGGAGAGCAAGGTTAAATGAATACAGAAAAAAAAGATCTATTTTAAAAGATCTTTTTGATCTTCATCATCAAAGCAGTTTTGTAATTAATAATTCAGAATATTACCATCCGTTCCTTAATTATTTACCTTACCTTCGTCATCATGTCTTCGTTGATAAATTTGCTCAAATACCATAATCAGAACACAATTTCATCATTATCGAAAGTTTTTAATATTCCTTTTGGCTGTTTGAGTGGCTTGCCTGAACATAAAAGAATATACGCTAACTAGTAGCGAAAAGCAGTGGCGTATTGGTGGCGTAACTATGCTGTTTGAGGCCCGTGGCAAATTAATCGGATATTCTATTTTTTTTTACTAATTGTGTAATAATAAATGTCAGATATAAGGATTCTCCTCTGACTGGGGGCCCCTCTACTTGGGGGCCCATGGCATTTTGCTGACTTGCCACCTTGAAGTTACGCCATTTTCGAAAAGTATGTGCTTCAAAAATTTGTTAGTTTTGTTAGGTCTCGGGTAGTTCAATAGAACAATTACCTGGATTGCAAATGGTTGTGGGTTCGAGTCCCATCTCGAGCTGGTGAATTGTTCAGCATTTTGCATTAAACAAAATCTTTAGTTTCAGAATTCTATAATCTCACTTGGACTTTAGCTATTTAGTTTGAAATCTAATTAATATATGTGATGAAGTCACTTACACGGTCGCCGAACAGAGAATTTAGTACATTGACCTTTTTGCCTACTGGTAGATCGCGGTCAGTTGCACAAACGTCCATTAAGGTTTAATGACGCCTTTAAACTCTAATGAATGTCAAATTTGTATTAGTAATGTCGCTTTAAACGAATGAATTTAATGGACGTTTGTAAAACTGGCTGATAGTAAACATTTAAGATACACTTCACAGGGACAAAATCGGTTAGATGCTTCTGTGTGAGTACAGAAAGCATAACGTAGATAGTATTAACACACTTTGTGAGCAAAACAAACTTTTTCGAACATTTTGTGTTTTGAAAATGAATGATTACCCTACCTTTCAGCAATGATGTATCATGGGATAAAATAACATAACATTGTTTCTAATTATAAATTCAAAAATTATGAATTTATGCTATCACTTTTGCCCACTACTATGTGAATGACGTTTGATGTTTTTGAAAAGCTGTTTACATCACGCGCTAGCGCACTGCTGTAATTTGGCGACAGAAAATTGCAGTAATATCTACCTCCTATTCCTGCCGAACTATTACAATTATTTTATAATTTACTTATATCACACTGCGGTCATAGGTATAGGAACAGGAGTGATGCAATGAGTACCACTTTAGAGACTAACAGCCAGTTGCACATACGTCCATTAAAATTACATTTGTTTAAAGTGACATTAACCATACAAATATTACGTTCATTAGAGCTTAAAGGAGTCATTAAACCTTAATTTACGTTTGTGCAACTCATTGTAAGAATACTTAATATAAGCTGCTAAATACGAGGGTCAAACTGAAAGTTCTTAGAACTGGCCACTTATAAACAATATAATAAAAAAATAATTCTAAAATTTGAAAATATAACTCTTTGCCAATATTACTGAGTATATATTTCATTCATTTGTCATTTGTTTTACGATTTGGCGGCAAATTGAAAATTGTCTGTGTCACGTCATCATGAATTTAACACGAGAAAATTTTCGTGCAATGATTTTTTATGACTTTCGATGTCATTTAAGTCAACAAGAAAGTTATGATAGACTACGATTGGCCTTTCACGATGAAGCCCCATCTCGTGCGACTGTTTACAACTGGTTTAATGAGTTTAAACGTGGTCGCACTAATCTCACTGATGATTTACGTGAGGGACGGCCTTCTACGGCGACGACTGAAGATAACATCTGTGTTGTGCGGCGTATGATAGAGACTGACAAAAGAGTGACCTATCAACAGATTCGGACAAGCTTAGGCATCGGTATGAGTCAAGTGCACAAAATCCTCCACGAACATTTAGCGGTCAGGAAGCTTTGCGCCCGGTGGATACCTCATAATTTGACTGAGGCTCAAAAACTCCATCGTGTGGATTGGTGTCGTAAAATGATTGAAAGATTTAACGGAGGTGACTCAAATGCTGTGTTCGACATACTAACAGGTGACGAAAGCTGGATTTACTGTTATGATCCTAAAACCAAAAGACAATCTGCTCAGTGGGTGTTTCCTTTCGAGGAGTTGCCAACTAAAGTGAAGAGAGATCGAAGTGCGGGAAAAAAAATGGTGGCCTCGTTCTTTGGAAGGATAGGTCATTTTGCAACAATTGTGTTAGAGGATCAAAAAACAGTTTCTGCAGAATGGTACACTACCAATTGTTTGCCACTTGTCTTGGAAAAAGTTCGAGAGAAACGACCTCGCAGTAGGATCCTCCTTCACCACGACAACGCCTCGTCGCACACCGCCAAGCGAACGATCGACTATTTGGCGACATCAAACGTTGAATTACTGGGTCACCCGCCGTATAGCCCCGACCTCGCGCTTTGTGATTTTTATTTATTTCCAAAAATTAAAGAAAAACTTAAAGGAAAGCGGTTTATGAATGCTGAAGAAGCGGTGGCTGCGTATCGCGATGCCATTGAAGAGACCCCTAAGGACGAGTGGGCAAAGTGCTTTTCCCAGTGGTTCCATCGCATGCAGCGGTGTATTGACGTGAATGGACAATATTTTGAAAAGATATAATAAAACTAATAACTGGCTAATGTAATCAGTTTTTGATTTTCTAAGAACTTTCAGTTTGACCCTCGTATGCAGTGTTCTCTTCCGTTAAGAAATAAAATAATTTTAAAACTGATCATTTTTTATTATATTCGATCAATTTTCTATTCACAATGCAATACTGAAAAATATTCTTATTTAATTTATCTAAGCTGTTGGCATGTCTGTTTGCTAATTCGGCAAATATTCGTTGCATCACTACGTATTAAGCAGCTTATAAAGAACCACAAATCATAAACGGTAAATGCACTTTTCTTAAAAAATGTGACTAGTCACCATATTTTCTTAATTAGCAAAATCACCAACATTTTTTTTTATAAATTTGTTTAAAAGCGGAGATTGATTAATTTGCACTTAAAAAGGTAAAATATTAAAAGAAGGAAAATTAAACGATATCTTTTAACCCAATTAGTTTTATTGGATTAAGTATATTGGTGGTGTTCTTATTACTATTAATTTATAATTACTGTTACCTTGGACTTTATTTTTTCGTTCATACCTAATTAACTTGAAATTAGTGAATTTGGTTTAGGCACCCTAATAACCTAAATATTTTAATTGATTCATGCTTCATTGGAAGTAGCAACGTATAATCAATAAACTTTATACAGATCTAGGTAGGTATGTGCTATATTATTCTTATGTAGCGGCAATAAAGTACCGTTAAGAGTATGTTTTTGGTTACGCAATGTTAAAAATATTTGTTTACGGAAAGAGTCAACAGTTGCCAAACGTGGTTGGCTCCAGAACTACTAGAGTAGGTAGGACATAGTATGTTTCCACCACAGAACACAGAAACTTTAACTAGACTCTTACCGTTTGCCTTGTTGTGGTTATGAAACTAAAAAGTGTCTGAAGTCGGCGAATTTGGTCATCATTAAGTTCTTCATCAGTTTTTGCCTTACTTGAAAGTAAGCTTTATATCACGGCATTCGCTTACAAATGATACAAAAGCATATTTTTATTAATTAATAATACCTATATTGACTTGTTGAACCGGAAATTTAATGTTGGAAAAATTCATTTCAAGCAAGTTTCGAACTGCGTTGTCTGCCAATACATTGTAAGACGCAAGAAGTTGTATATTTGGTGTATGAATTTACCCACCTACTTACATAAGTAATAAGAATTCTACATGCACGCATGGCACGTCAAGTTGCAACATTGTCGAATATTTACAATTTTGAACTTAATTACCAACAATTTATGATCTATATAAATGATCTATATTGTTAGATTTCGATAAGCTGATGTGCCGTTCTCTAGATACTGTAGTTCCTTTTCAATAAATGAAAAACCAGCATTAAATAACATATAAAAATATTACGAAATAGGCCAACTACGTTATGTTTCTAACATTTCTTCAGTGAAAAATAGTTTTTTTGGTAATATGTACCTTTTTTATTGTCATATAAATATGCAACAAGATATGAAGTCTCTGATCTCTGTACTAGGTATAACCTGAGTTACATAATGACTGTTACTTTGGAGTAAATAAATTAACAGGAAATCACTTTCTATCAATAAAATTTTTTGCATACCACCCGTTTAGGACAATTTTGACTGACAAGAACGAGTGAACGAAATTACCTGCTTTCAACTCAAAATTACATAATATAATTCAAATAAACATATTTAACTCACTTTTTAATTTTGAAATAACATTTATTTACAATTAACATAATGCTGATTGCTAATGTCTATTTAACTAAGCTCTCGTATCAATCGAAGGTTAATAATATTAACATTTAACATTAATATCTTGATTAGTATATAAATAAATAATTTTATCTTAAGTATGGCTGCGGCTGGTTCATCGTACCCGTAATACGTGACGTCATGAACAATCAAAGTTGTTTTACTTTTAATATACCAATACATCGACTTTCATAGAATTCGAGTTGGCATTCACTAAAAATAGTTTTCAGAAAACTACTGAACCGATTGATGCTTCAACCAAAATAAGAGATTAAATAACCTACTTAAAACAAACGCTAGCGCGATTCAGAACGACACAGTGCCATCTATTGAGCACTCAAAGAATATACATCATTACCTGCGCAAATTGCACAGTATGCAATGATTTATTTATGCAGTAGGATAGAATCAACTTAATTAAAATACAAAAATAATGTGTACTCTAGTTAACGTTGTGTTGGCTTATTTTCTGATTTATACGTAGTTAAGTAGATAAGTATATTCTAATTTTTATAATGCTCATAATTGTAACTTACTTTTTTTTTATGGGATAGGGGGCAGACGAGCATACGGATCACCTGATGGTAAGTGATTACCGTCGCCCATGGACACCTGCAACACCAGAGGGGCTACAAGTGCGCTGCCGGCCTTGGAGGGAAGGGTTGAGGGGTAGAGGGAAGGAAGTAGGGAGGGGTTGGGCCTCCGGTACCCTCACTCACACGACGAAACACAACGCAAGCGTGGCTTCACGTCGGTTTTCTGTGAGGCTGTGGTATCACTCCGGTCGAGCCGGCCCATTCATGCCGAAGCGTGGCTCTTCATACTTATTTATGTTTTTACACGTACTTAATCGCTTAAAATTAAGTTAGCAATCTACTTAGTAATTATCTACTTAATGACGTGTTAATCAGCCATTGGAGTGTACACCGTCATCAGTCTGCGTTATCTCTTAAGCCCATTGCGGCTACATTGCATTCGTTAATAGCCAACGATCCACACTGGATCTGCTTGGTTAGTACACCCGTTCGCCAGATCCAGTGGCGAAGTATTAGATAGGGGGAAGTACAACGGGGAACTGCTTAGGCGTCGTCAGTTTAATCCGATTTATATCAGATCAATATTACGAATGTTATATAATTTTTAACTATTGAAGAAGCAGGTAATAAAAGCCTTGTCGTTTTGACACTGGATTTAATCGATTATGTCTTATTGATAAAACCGAATGAGTCCCAAGTCTCGATGTAATCTCGATTCTGCTCTAACATATCGTAAATTATTTTGCCCGAATAATCGACGGCAGGTAGCTGACCACCGTATTCTGCTGGCAAGTATGCAGCTGGAATGTACTTGTGAAACGACGAGAATTTAGTCCCATGGAAGAACATCTAAAACAACGAGAAAATAACTTGAAACTATAAATATATTTAGTTACTATTTAAATAAAAATGAGTAAACTAGATCTAAATGCATAGTTTTTATGCACAAATATTTATTTATAATTATAATGTATACAAATCCTGTCAGTTTAAAAATATTATTAACAAACAAATCAGTTTAGGTTACATTAGAGACGTATTTATTTCAGAAAACATTAATGTGTTATTGTTTTAATGAAGAAGGAAAACAAGATGTAGAATCGTATTGGTAAAGTATGCACAGCAGTCACAGAACACAATTCGTGTGTGCTGTTCTATGCCAACAGATAAGTGGAGCATCTGTACCAGCCCCTCCCTTCAGTATTTCTTCGGACACAACTCTACGCCAAAGTGTTCTTAATAAATTAACCAATTTGTTTCACGTTCCTTTAATTTCTTTCGTCGTTTTGTGTTTTCCAGAGATTGAATTCCAAGCAAACTTGCGCACTCTTGCCTCTAGTTAATTTGATTCTTATTACATTACAAACATTCTAAAGTTTAGAGACGCATGAACAAAACTATTATAAGTAATCGTGTTAACAATTATGAAAAATCAGACATACACAACTTAATAATAGAACCTAATGTCAGTTTTAGCGATATCAACTAAGTTTCGTCCACACGCCGTCGCCTAGTTTAAGGGCATATTAAATTGCTATAAACTGCTTGTTATTTTAATAGACTTCTGCTAATAATTCAAACATTATAATCGTAGTATATTTTAATAACGTAATAAAATAAACATTTTATTTTTTAACGATGTAAATTAATACTTTATACAGATAATAAATCCATAAAATTAATCAGAGTTTATCAGAGCTAATAATAAATTCAATATTGATAACTCTCATATTCACTGGCACTTTTTAGCTTAGATTTAATAAAAGTATTTAATATTATTATATTTAATTTCGCATTTGTTGTTTATTAATTAATTGTTTTGTTTTAAAATTACTCACCCTCTTCTTGAGTTTTTCATTGATGAATGGTTTAAGAATGTTCCACAGAATATTAAAAATCATTGGCTGCCGAACTACGTGTATTTCTTTCTGACGGACACCAGACGCATCCTGCAAGAACGTTACTTGTCGCTTCGACGACGATGGTGTCACCGATGCCACCTGGAATTAGTTAAATATTTTTTTTTATAATATAGGGTGCGAACTAATTGTGCGTTTATAATGCCGTCAATTTAAAATAAACAAAATTAACAGAGCTGGTAAATTTCTTTCGGCTGTTCTACTTGTTAGCCAAAAGACGTCCTGAACGATAAGTGGGGGAAAAAAAAAATAGGACGATTGAAGTGCTTGTAATAATCTAATAATTTACTGGGGTATAAAAATTTTTTAAAGCCACTTGTTAAATTCATGAGTTACCGTAGGTAGGAGTCACGCATGATTTTGATTTAATAGAAAAAAATATCACCCTATTTTAATAATATTTTTTACTGATTTATTACTTTAAATTAAGAGACTAATAAAACAGCATTGGACTGACATGCAATGCCTATTTGTATCCCTAGAAAACACGTTATCTACACCATGAATAATTCCCACTAATATCATATAGAAAATGTGTTGTTATTTATATTGACAAATACACTTTGATAAATGATACGCACTAACAATCATATTATCGTTTTCAATAGTAGATTGTTGCACAAGGAGCTAAAATGACAAATTCCATACAAGGTAATTTGACGAAAATAGCGTTATATAGGGTCTTTAGGACAGATGTCATATTCTTTTCACTTTATTTGTACTAGTGAAAATAATCCGATAGTATTAAAAATGTAATAAGGCAAAATTCTAAACATTTCATTCGGCAACGCTTTTTCGCCAAGATCCCGTATTCGGTTCAATTTTTAAACAGACTTTCCCGTCTTCGGTTCAATTTTTACCCGACTGCGCGACGCAAAGGAGGGTAATGTGTTTATCAGTCTATGTATGTATGTTTGTTTCTATGTGGCGTTCTAGAGACCAAATGCGTAGGCCGATTTTGATGATTCTTACGTCAATCGATTCGTCTTAACCTTGCGAGTGTCACTAAATACATGACAGTAATTAAAATTCACCACAGCGACAACCAGACACCATATTATTGTGTTAAATGAAAAAAATAAAAATCGATGAACTATGTCAAGTGGGGTGTCGTTGAATGGGTATTTTAAAATAATCTTTAGGTTCCTTTTATCATTTTTCATTTTAAATAATAGTTTAGGATATATAACGATTTAAAGTTGTTTAACAAAACATTCTCGCTAATTTTCTTACTTATTGATTAAATTTTTATTTAAAGTATAAACGATATAGAAACAAAAAAAACAGTGAAAAAGCATGAAGAACAAATATTTTTGGTAAAAAAATAAAGCATATGTAGCTTTGAGCCGAGTTAGGTCTCTAGAGGGACTAATCATCAATAGTTTAGACCACCGCAAGTTACTTAATAATCCCCACGATATTAACTCCCTCAATGAAATAACTTGATTGCGAAATTTACCGTTTTATAACGAAGTCAACGAATCGTAACTAAAAAGTATAAAATAAAAATAAATATTTTATAGAAAAACAAATTTCTCTAACAAAGTAACAAAACAAAGTTCTGTATTACTTAACAGAATTCTAAACTACTGGGCTTGTTTCTTTCTTTTTGGTTTTTATTTAAGTTAATTCTTTCATGTATGTTTTAAATTCGTTTTTACGCAGTCGGGATTTTTGTTTTTCTATAAATTATTTATTTTTTGAACAGAAAATCAAAAAGGAGGAGGTTCTATGTTTGACTGGTACCTTACTTTGTATTATAAAGTATTGGTACTTTTTATTACATTTCTCCGCAAAATCATTGACCTATTTTAACATTCTTTTTTTAATCAAAATGTTATAGGTACAATGTGATCCCATAGAAATCCTATCGAATTTCCAGTTTCAAGAATGAAAGGAATACTAACACATTACTCTTTGCAGACGTAGTGCCTCAGTCTATATACTATACTAATACGCACGAAATATCTATTTTCAGTTTGCTTACATGTAGTTTGGCAACCATATCTACATTTCATAAAAATAACAAACTAGGACTTGGTTTGGAAGAAAAACAGTTATGCACTTTTTATGCTTACGTTATATGAATTATTTTCAACAACATTTCATTCTTACTTATCCTTATCTCAGAACAAACTCGGGTAAAAAACCAAACAAAAAAATCCAATTACTAGCTAAGTAAGAAGTCTCAAAAATTACAATACTATTTATATTAGCCATTGACAATTCTTACTTCATTCTAATTCACGTCTATTAGTTAAAGATATTTGCTTTAGTTAATTCTTTGACTCAACTGATTGCTTCTACTCTAACAAATATTCTTCTTTTACTTTACTTTTCACTTACAAATATGTAAAATTCATCTATCATGGAAATCGAGTTTTCAAGCTTTTTTCTCTTTTATTTTATATTACTCGCAATCGAAATGAAAATCAGAGTACATCTACAACTGTGGCTAGCAACATACAGCGCACAAATCCATTATAACTGTGCAGTTTTTTTTGTAACTTTGTTTCTCTCACTGAAGCTAAGTAAATCTACTGTTGAGTCAGTATTGGAGCCCCTCGTGTGACAATCTACTATTCTATTCTGTGATAATATTACATTTATAATAATAAACCTCGTAAGTCTATCATATTCATTTTATACAATGAATAATAATGAGTTTTAAATATTTAAAAAATGTACCTGAGTCCAGCCCATGTTGTGGTAATCCAGTATAGTGACAATCCCGTTTACTTGAGTCTCTGGCTCCAACATTACTATGACATCCAACAAATAGAACTCCTTAAATAGGTCGTCAGCATCCGCCTTACTTGGGTCGTAAATAGCTATAAGTGAACAGTAGGAGAATTCTGATAATGTTTACGTAATTATAATATTGACCTGAAATCTAATATTGTTAGTACAATGTCTTCCTTGCAGATCGATGGTGGCGGATATACAACAATATTGGACTTCAAGTAAATATTAATGCGACTCGTTGAGTTTCTATGAGAAAGAATTAAAAAAAAAAGCATTAAAAAAGCGCCTGCACTAGTTTGCGACTGCAGCAAAAGTTGATTTTTGCAGGAAACGAATAGACCAAAGATAGTCTATTTCTTTCCTTTTAACTAACATAATATTAAAAAACTGAAATTTGCAAAGTTCGAAACTTAGATATCAATACAAATATGAAAAAGTACAAATAGAATATGAGCTGTTTATTGAGTTTTGAAAACTAATTTACTTTTATACACGAAAGAAAACCGGAAGGGTGGTCATGGAGAAATCAAGAGAGTAGCGACATCTAGTTTCATTACGGGAACTATTTTTTTTAATACTTCCTCATTGAGATGAGATTATTAGGTAAACATTAGCAGAATTGACCTGAAGCGTTAAGGCAATTTTCTAGTATAGAAAAAAACTGTGTCGAATTCGTTTTTGATATGTTATTTCGAATGTTTATATCTGTTTCGAAACCCTAATGGAGTATGTCTCATATCTATCCAATATAAGAAAAAGGTAAAGTTTCTTACTTTGTTTGTTTATTGGGATAATCTTCGAAGATATCTAATGATGCGATTATGAAATTTCTTTCAACTACGGGAACTCTTCATAAGGACGGCAGTGTATAGCACACTGCCGTTCTTATGACTAGTGCAAATAACTTCGTTTGGCTACTTTTGAGCTAATCGCAATTAATTATTAAATTATTATATTTGATCAATATTGCATTCACAGTAATATACTTGAAAATATCCTTAATGAAAATGCTTTAAAATCCACCCCGACCCTGAGATGGGACTCATCTCAGTGTTCCAGGGACGGGGTGAATTTTTTGAGCATTTTTCATATTTCATAAAGATTTATATTTTTGACAATCAAAAAAATATATCATATCAAAACTACTGTCAATACAAAGAGAACACTCCTGAAGAAAATGTAGAGCTAATTTTTCTGATCACGAATATGTAGGTATTTAATGTCAGTTTGGCTAAACTTTCGAATTATTGCACTTATCAGCAATTATAAAGCAATAAGTATCAAATGAGTCTAATTTATTTATATCTATAAATTACCGTAGACCTACTTTAATTATCGTAGACTAGCTTTTCACCCGCGTGGTCTTGTATTATACAAATAAACATTCCTCTAGAACGCTCTGTATATTGATACTACCTATACCAGATAGTGGCCATCTATAAATTAAGTTACAAGAATTCATACTTGTCAACTCCCTTCCCTTCCCTATTCTAAGGATGTCCCGTTTTGATCCAAATTCAAAATGGTCATGTTAGTTATTGCCTATATGGATAAACTTTGTGCTTTTATATCATTTCATAACCGTTAAAATATTATTTTAAAAATCATAATAAACCCATGCCTCTACAATTCTGCATAGTCTAGGGCAGGGGTCGGCAACCTGCGGCTCGCGAGCCACATGCGGCTCTTTGGCTGACAAGCTGCGGCTCTTTAGATCCGAACACAAATATTATTTATTTTATAAAAAAAAATCATTTTAAAACTTTCTGAATCGATTAACAAAGATTCAGCACCACTTCTATCTCTCAGCCACATAGTCTTTGCTTGTACCCGCTTTTCACCCGCTCAGTCTGGACGAGGCTATTGAAGTACAAATTAGTCTTGTAACTTTGTAACTAAATGTTTAATTGTTTTATTTTTTTACTTGAATTATAAATAATTATTAATACCATAAATATGTTTAATTTTTTATGAAAAAAACTACTCATATAAGAATAAATAAATATTATTTTGTCTTATAAATAAACATTAAAATTACTTTATTTATGCAAGTTCTATTTATTGTGATTGAATCACCATGATTGACCAAAAGTAGTTGATTCCGTGCATCGGGGGGCACGTTAAGCCGTCGGTCCTGCGCCTGATCTCTCACCGGTCGTGTCGGTCAACCGTCCCATCGGATATAGAGAGTGGAAGGAAGAGAGAGAGTGAACTCTAAGAATGCTAAATCTAGTTGGTTACAATAAGCAAAGTCCTGCGCGGTAAGTCGATGTCAGTGAGAGTAGGACTACATTACTTATTTATTGTAGGCATAAAAACATTTTTTGTGGCTCTTTAAAAACTTAAAAATGTTGTAAATTGTAACTTTTGGCTCTTTTGACTCAAAAGGTTGCCGACCCCTGGTCTAGGGCATTTCGTTATGCTATTACTCGCTAGAAACATGTACAAAAACTACATTTTTTACTTGCCATTGGACTTGTTCGAGTAAAGAGTATGTAATTTTTATATGTTACCTCCACCGTTAACAACTACGATCCTTCTATTCTTGTGGTCCCGTTTCGGAAGTACAGTCGACGTATTGTGGTTTATGACAAAGTTTTTTATATGTTCTGGTCGTAAGCCTGATATCAAATGTGAATGTTCACGTTTGAATTCGGCCATACGACGCATCTGCAAAAGAAAAGAAAAAATTGTTACTACTACTTAGTCGGAAATACCCCAATCTGATATTTATCCCACTAGAATGAGAAATGTGAATGTATGAGAGAAAATGTATTTGTGTATAAAAAGCTTGGTCGTTTGTTAGGTATAAAAAAATACATACCTATGTGTAAATTTTTTAATTAATTTCAAGTATATATTTAAAAATTATCAAAAAAATTTAATGTATAAACTGATACTAGAAGACAACTTTGTGAGTGAGAGTTAAGTAGTTTAAGAGCTACCTAGTTACTGATGTCCATAAATGATGGGACAGAAACTGTGTAAGCTGTTACATACCAATATCTAAGTCACTTTCGCACGCAGAAATACTAGGTGATATTTTACATCTTTTATTTATCTGTCAATCAGTTTGGTTTTCGTCTTTTAAAAGTCAACAAATAATGTTCTCTCTAATAGATTTAACTTCTACTCGCTTGGAAGGTAAAATAACGATAGACATTTTCCTTGATTTGGCAAAAGCATTTTACACTGTTTTTGCGCAAATCCCCTTAAATAAGCTTGAGAGTATCATAGAGTACAAAGCAAAATCAAATCTTCATAGACAATCTAATAGATATCTGCGTATTTAAATAGAGAAATATATAAAATATAATTAAACATATAACTATAGGGTACCACAGGGAAGTATACTCGCTCCAACACTCATAATCTATATTACACCTCTCACACAGCCAAATAATTTCGTACGCAGATTATACTGTTCTGATGTTTTCAACTAACACATAGGATAAGGTGTTTCTGATTGGCTCAAAGAGGATTCAATGATATTCAGAAGTGTTTTCAAAATAATATGCTTACTGTAAATTCTACGAAATCAAAATAGATTACTTTTCAGTTCACAGATGTGTATCAAGAGATGATCAGGAGCCACTAAATCGTGTGTTATTATATATTTATTTTTCTTCCTATCCCTTGTAAAAGCTCAAAAAGAACATATATTTTTTTTGAATTCCTGAGTCCTTAAATTAATATACATATTCAAAAACCTTAGACATATATTAGAACCTCATAGCTTGCAACATGAGTAGGTAATATACATTGTATCTTGGGATGGAGAGGTGCTTCTGTCTTTGAAAATTATCCTTAATTATAATGCGCTTAACACAACATAGTATATTAAGATAATTTGTATCAACTGCTAATAGGTATACTGAAATTAACTAAAGAAACTTGAAACTGCAAAGTTTGTACCGATGACTCAAATAGCGACGTGCAATGTAAATTGAGGCTTTTTGGGGACGAATTTGCGAACTAGTGAAAAAAAGTTTCACAAACTAGCTTAACCTTTAACTATGGACGTGCGGTCTCACGGACCGCTTGCAGTTTGTGATTCTCGTGCCCCCCTTCTTTTGCGTATCCCACGCGTGTGCCGGCCTCAGTAGCTTCGGTTTTTGTGGCGAAACGACTGTTGAGCGTGGAAGTTACGTCTCCGGCTAAATGTTGGGTGAGTAATTTCGTTTTAAATTTTGAGTGCGGTCTGTGAGACCGCGCGTCCACATTTATGCTATAAATTACAGGCGATGGTGATTTTGTTTCTTTTAGATTTTGTAAACTAAAATGTTGCAAAACGCTTATCCTGACTTCAGGCAAACAAACATCGAGTTCGTTGACTCAGAGAGCCAGTAAAATATTGCGATTGGATGAGCCTTCTTTTGAAGACGAGTTTCAACGATTAATTTTAGAATCGGGTCAGTGCGACAGCGATAGGGATGTTTATAATTGTTTGTTTTATGTAGCTTACATTGAAGCAAGTCATTCGAGTGAATCAGAGGTTGAAGAAAGTGGTAGTAGTACCACATTTGACGACGATGTAAGGAGATCGGATAGTGAAAGTTTAGATAACGACAATATACCTATGCAAAGATTGCCAATAAATATGACCAAGTTGGGCCCTTGTTGAAATTTTTATGTTTAGTGTTGAGAAGATTGTGTTTAGTTTTTTATGTTCTTAGTTTTTTATATTTAATTCTAAAAGAAGTTAAACTAACGAACAATGTCATTTTCTTGTGGTAATTTACCTATAAAATGATCTCAAGCTCATAAGTCTGAAAAGCGCCTTTGATTGTTCTATTGTTAGATTAAGTTTTAAATAAATTAATTTTTCATTAAAATTGCATCTTTTATTTACACGTTATAACTCGTCTAAGGGTAAAAACAAAAAACTATACAATAATCACACTCAATAAGATAGAAATCAGCCCATAAAGATAGCGGTCTGTGAGGCCGCACGTCCATAGTAGTGTAACAAAAATGTAACGTCCATAGTTAAAGGTTAATTGTATGACATATAAAAGAAGGTTTCTTATTAGAATCTCAAGTATTTGTTTAACATCAAGCTAATACAGTGCATGAAAACCATTTAGAAATCTATTGTTCAAAATTTTGTATTTGTTCGGAACTTCCAAAGCGCGAAACCGACTCTCGACCTTTTTTTTATTTGAAGAAAGAATTCTCATGTATCTATTTATCAACGGGGCGAGAAAATGTGGGGTCTAGGCCGTAGGTAGAACTTGACAACATGTGTGTAGGTAACTAGGTAGGTAACATAAGAAAACCTAACATGGAAATATTATGCAAATAAGACAATAATCAACATGCGAACTCATAAAGGTTTGACGAACCCTTACAAGACTGCATGTATACAAAAGTAAACATTGTTTTGTATCATGGGTTCAAGTAAGGCCATAAGTTCTGTTATTTGAATACCGCAAATAATTATAATTTATCATATTTGAATTTTGTTTTTTTTTTCTATACCACGTGCTTCTAAAGTGCAATAATAAAATAGAAATTGCAATCACAGGCGTCTCTACATAATTGGCAATCCGCCAAAATCATATTATGCACTATCGTTTAATATACAATGTCGTTGACCCCTTTGTCTCTTGAGAAAACAAATTTATCTCATCTATTTATACCAGCTAAGTTCGGTGTTACGACTTAGTTTTTAGTAGACCTCCTGCAATACATAATCTTTGATCAATTGTGGTAGAATTATTGTTTAGTTACCGTCGATGTTGATTCCAAACATTTTCAAAGTACAGACGTATTTTTACATAGGGTTTTATAGAAGAGAATTACTAAAGTTTATCAGTGTTATTAATAAACACTGATAAACTTTAGCAAAACTAGCAGTAAAACAGTCCACACAGTTATGAATCGATCTTCACCACTATTGCTCCATGACAACGCAAGATCTCATACAGAGAAACCGTTTTGATCTTTCAGGAACTGCAGTTAGAAACTATTCGTCATCCTCCGTATTCGCCAGACCTTGCTCCAACGGACTACCATTTTTTTCGTGATTTGGACAATTATCTACGTGACAAGAAGTTTTCTTTCCAGGATGCAGTACAAAATGCTTTCACACAGTTTGTACAGTCTAGATTCTCTGTATATATAATATCTCATGTATATATTAATAATTGTAACTATTTTGATTAAATATATATTTTTTTAAATAAAAAAAAATACAATTTTGATTTTCAGTACAATCGGCGGTACTTTAACCCCTATTATTAAACAGAGAATTAGCAAAGGATGAGATGATGAGTATGAGGTTCTACAGGAGTAATGTTTAATCCTAGAAGGTTTGCTTATTAACTGTAGGAGTTTTATAGAACTGTGGATTTTTTTTACATAAGTGAAATAGTTTGATCATGTTTTTCTTTTTTAAATAATTAATAGGTTAAAACAAATATGTAACTCCTTTTCTCATATTCTAGTGTAAAACGGTAGTTTTTTACTTACTCTATGTTTTTGTGTATGGTTGATTTAACATAAAATTTATTGTAACTAGAATGTATGTAATGTTGAACACGAACGTTGGTAAACCATAAATAAATAAATATAATATGTTTATAGTACCTTGTTTATTAATAGTACTGTAACATTTTACTTTATTGAGCGTGATTATAGAGGTCAGTGGCAAACTCACGCGTTTGTTGTGTACGCCTATCAAAATTTTGCCACCCCTGCCGACATCTGCAATTCGATGCCTGATTTCATACTATTAATTTGATGATCAGAATATTACTCGACTACTTTCAGTAGTATCTACGCTCCAGTTGTGTTTTTGACTTTTTGCTCCATAAAGAGTTCTCTGCGTTTTTCGCACATGAATGGAATAAAAACGGATACCGAATCAAATAGTAAAGACATTCGAAACACTAAAATGTATACCTACCTAACGCTTTAGTGATAAAGTTGAAACTTGCAAAACTTTGTGAAATAGTCGTGGTTTATAATTAAATAATAAAAAAAAATTCAAGACATTATTGTTTTTTCTCATCACTCATCTTTCAGCAACCTACTTAAATATATTTCCTTAAATAATTTAATAGACTTTTAACAACGTAAACAATATGTTACGTGTCTCAAACATGAAACTAATAACGTCATTAGGATTTTTTTGTAAGACATTCATTGTTTTTAGTTCAAAAGGTGAACTGTTTACAATAAACCAAGTTTCATTCAAGGATTTATTATTTAGTCAAAAATACTGAAATATGGAAAATCTTTGACATCATTTGCTTGCCTTTGTCCCATTTCTTTTATTTAGTGTGTCCATAAATGTGTATAATTCTTCTTTTTATAATTTCTCGATCAATCGTCTTCTTACCCATTCATGTTTCTTCGTTTACCCTCTACTTACCAATTACATAAGATAATATTTTACAAAATGAAAGGTACTTATTTTAATAAAATTAGATCTGAAATATTTTTGTCTGGGTACTTTTATTTAACCTGTACCAGTATGTTGAACAATTCACATTTTAGGGTTTCGTAGCAAACATTAGTGCCCTTATAGTTCCGCCATGTCCAGCCGTCCGCTGTATAGCTCAAAAACTATTGGTAGGTACTAGAAACTTATAATTTCGCATGAGTATACACGTTAATTACAAAAAAAAGTGGTAAAGCAAAATTAAAAAAAATCTTATATCTCCCCTACAAGTAGAGCGAGGATGATAATTTTTTTCGTCTTCCCCATAGTGTGTCGCATCGTTGGTTAGGTCTTTCTTAAACATTGGGCGTGTGGGAAAGACGTTTTTCGAAAAGTTAAAGCGTGTGTGACTTATTAAGCTTTAAAGAGCTAATTTTCGTTAAAGTCAAATGCCCTCCCCTACTAATTAATCGATTGTTGGTAAAAATTCAAACGTTACTGTAATAGTACCTATATACAACAAAGTTAAAAGAAAAACTATCACACTTAATAAGTTGGCTTTAGAATTGTCGACCAATTGCATTCAACTCCGAAATTTCGAATAACTCCATCGAAAACAAAAAGAAAACATGGTTTTTTACTTTTCCAATGGATGCAAATGGAATGGTACGGTTCACGAGTCCGACGCATTTGGCCGGTTTTCTGTATTAAATTATAGTTATGTAGTAGCACTTTCTTCATATTTTATCTGTTCATTCTCTAAAGTTCATAACAACCGATTGACCGAATAACTCAAAAGTATTACGTATGTAGGGTAAGGTGGGGCACAGTGTTAAAAAAACACACACACGGCAATGTGGCGACGAAAATATTGAGTTAATGACCTTTTAACTGACTTGGATATAAACTATAACAATCTTTCTTTACTTAGAATTATTAAAACATGACTATTATTAGCGACGAGCTGATTTAAATCGCAAGTAAATTGGTTCTAACACTGTGCCTCGTTTCTGGGGTACTCTGTTACTGAGCAAATTCTTTTGTTTTCGGGAATAAATAAAAATAGCAAGGTGCGAAGTTGGGGCTATTCCCTTCTATACATATCTTTGCAACAAATTGAAATCTATGAAATTAATATTCTTTTAATTTGGTGCCTTTCAAATACATATCACATTTTGGACCATCAGAGTCACTTCATATTTCTTTCAGTATGAAGACCGTGATCCATCTTTCTATTACGCTTACTTACCATTTTCTTTTAAAACCTAGGCACAAAACAAACTATAAATTTGGTTAGGGCCCATTGTTGCAGTGTAACACAGTGCCCAAGATGGGCAAAAAAGTAGAAAAAAAGTAAAAAAGTCAAAAGAATAATAGAGATGTATGTGCGTTATAAAAGTGTGCCCCGTGTAACACTGAGCCCACTTCGTACAAAAAACCTACGTATAAATTACGCGAATAAAAAATGTTGTATTATTTATAGATTTATAAAATTGTTGGGTCTTTCCTTTAAAGTAATTATACTGGTTCAGGGCATAATCTCAAAAAAAAATACATAATGTACACCGTTTACGTTTTGTCTCGCGCCTAGATGGTTCCGTATAAATAGCTTCAATTTTAAATTTCGACTCACTATAAGTCTACGGTCAGTTGCACAAACGTCCATTAAGGTTTAATGACGCCTTTAAGCTCTAATGAATGTCAAATTTGTATGGGTAATGTCGCCTTAAAGTAATGAAAATCTTAATGAACGTTTGTGCAACTGGCTGTATATTTTTCTATGATTTAATTTCAAATGTAGGTACAGTTCCATAAAAGGATACCCAATACTTGCTAAATTTCATAGGTCAACGAGAAGTACTTTATCAATTTTGATACCCTTTAAAGCGCCAAAATATGCATTTTTTGCGACGTAAATGTTTTATTGTATCTTTCATTTTACGTTATAAGTTTAAGTTTTTCACAGTTTCAAGGGACTATAGTCTTGAGTATGTTAAAATTTTAACTCGATATCACCACGCATTCCTGAAATAAAGGGCCTTGACAGACAGATAGACGCCTTTATTTTTCGACTACTTAAAATGACTTTAATTTCAAATTTAATTAATTATTGTAAGCTATATTAGAGAAGACTTACTATTACCCGCAAAAGTTAATTGAGACCTGATAAATTTTGTAAGTCATAAATATAAGAATTAAGATCAGTAGTTACTGTGAAAACTTGAAATACTTAGTCAAAAAATAGGTACCCTTTTTTTATTGAAATCGTTTTTAGCGGTAACAGATTCAAGAATCTTTATTGGAACTCAGGCGATTTAGAATCATAACCAGCGAATTCTCGGCCGAATCCAAAATCTCAAGTTTGTTTAAAGCAAAAAATATAGAATAATAATTGTTATTGAAGGACGGTTTTAGTTTTTTATAATAAGCGAACACTGAGTTTTTAAACTTACCAACGCCAAAGCGCTTTCTGGATACCACTTGCACTTCCGCAGCAAAATAGTGAATACATAATCGTCATCACCGTAATAAAGATCAGGGTTCTCTTTGAGGAGTTCCCGAATGCGCCGCAACCCCTCTTTAACCCTTTCCGGGGTCTCTCTCAAATCTCTCTCTGCTACCAACTTTGATTCTGGACTTAACTCCACATTGCGCTCTAATTTGAATACGTAAGACATCTTGTTCTAATGACCTGAAAAAAGCCTGAAAGAAGTATAAAAGAAATATTTGAAGCAGATATTTTCCCGATATTTTCCCTTTAAAAAAAAAGAATGCGTTATTACAAGAAATTTATCAAATGGTGAATTTTAAAGATAACGGTATTTTTGACTACGTTCTTCGTAATCTCTTTATCCAATAACATTAAAGTTATGTTGCAATATCCTCCCTTTTAAAATAAGTCATTTATTTTACTTTTGTGTCCAGTGAAAAATAAAATAATTTATTTAATCGTAGTAAAGAATATTTTGAGTTCATTTTTCGTTTTTCAGTCAAATATGGGAAAACATTTTGACGATTTCTGTCATTTTTAATATTCATACCTTAATGATCTCAGAAAATCTTTGACCCCCACGTGATACAGGTTAAGATAGATAATATATTGATAATATACCCATATATTGTTTAAATTTTGCTTAATAAGCAGACTGTTTCTTTAAATTTACTCAAAATCTGTGAATGCGGTTCAAAATATCTTCTGGCACTAAGTATAATTAACGTATTAGCCCTTACTGTTCCGCGTCTCAAAAGTCCATCCATCCATAGAATTATGAATGCTAATAGTGATTTTGTGTTTAGGCCCCTTTTTGCACTGTCCCTGTCTCTTGACACCCGTCAAGGGTACGCGAGACTTTCCAACCGCATGGATACGCCCATATGGCTAGTCAAAACGCCGATAACATACCCACTAAACCCTCACTTTTGGGGGAAAAAGCACGGCTCCACCTAGCCCAATCTACGTAGCCCCGGGTATCTCTGGGCTGGTTAGACCCCTTCTACTACCGGATAGAGAATACCCCCCGGGCTTGAAATCCACTACAGATTTTGAAGTCACTTAAATATGATAACACCGGCTCCTTATTCTGACTGATCAATAATAGAAATTTTGTTTTTAATAAATTGAATCCGTGTTTGAAATGTTGCTTTTTAGTACTCCGGATTACTCGGCACTTCGGGATAACTTTAATAGTGATTAGTAATAATAGCAGCGAAATTCTTATAGTCCCTATCCACATACGTATTAATTAACTGTAACTATTATTTAGGTTTACGACAAAGAAAAAAGGAAAACATAAGCACACTCACTTTCGTAATTAAAGTTGTATTTCCCCCGTGAAAATTAGCGGGAAATCTTGGACCGTGTAATGTAAGTAGGCAAGTGCGCTCACGCGTTCTATCTCTATGGTTTTTATACATTCGCTTGAACGAGCCCAAGCTCAAAGTTTATTTTATTTCAGAAATGGCGGCTGTTACTGCTCTTCAATAATCACCATGTCCTACTTTGGATTTCAAAATAGATAGGTAGGTACAGTGTAAAATATTTTAATAATTAGGTATTGTTTTTATATAAATAAATAAATAAATTGTTTTTCTTCAAAAACTAAAACATTACAAAGAATAGGTACTTTCTTAATAACTATTTTTTATTATTTTCATAGGTGAATCAACAGTTATTGAAACAAAAATTTATTTTATTTTATACGTATTGTATTTAGTCTTTAAACTAGGTGATAGTTTACGAGAAAAAGACACCTACCTAATTACCACTGTAAAGTATTACCTATCGGATAGTTTATGTGTATCTGTGCTATCGGTAATCATTTCGTATTTTCACCATAATCATCATCATCCTATTAATCTCCTCAGTGTTGTAGCGCAGTGTCCTTTCAGACGTTTATGCAATCCACCCAAACAGCCGAAAGAAATATTTTTACAAATATTTAAAGTTTCGATAAAAGGGTTCGAGTACCATCTCAGAGTGCCAAGGACAAAGTGTTTTTTTTAGGGCAATATTTTCAGTATAGCATTGTGAATGCAAGATTAATTAAATATAATATTAGACGAAATTTTCATCTTTATCTAAAGTTGAAATATTTGTAAAAAACATTCTTTAAAAAGTAATGACAGGAATGACTGTTGATTCACCTATGAAAATAATAAAAAATAGTTATTACGTAAGTACCTATTCTTTGTAATGTTTTAGTTTTTGAAGAAAAACAATACCTAATTATTAAAATATTTAAAACTGTACTACTGTAACTGTACTACTGTACTGTAAAAAAGATAGGTAGTATTTTGAAATCCAAAGTGGGGCATGGTGGACTGCCTAAACATTGATTAAATTAGGCTCTGTTTTTCGTTTATGTATTAAGATTACTCTATCGACAAATCACTACATAGTATAAATCAAAGTCGCTTTCTCTGTCCCTATATCCCTATGATTTTGATACGGTTTTTTTTTTCATAGATAAGGTGATTGAAAAAGAAGATTTTTATGTTGATATAATACAAGACCGCGCGGGCGAAGCCGCTGACGGAAAGCTAGTTTAAAAATAGAATATGGCTATCAAAGGTCGTATTCCTAATGCAAATGCAAAAATCCAAGAGCAAATCAAATGTTTTGTTTTAGTTAACAAAAAACTTTTTAAAATATATAACAGACTCAAACTCTAAAAAAGTGATAAACTTTTCTTTTTAAAGCTTTTCCTTTTCCTTTACATGCGTGCGCTGCGTAAACGCTGAAAGTTTCGCAAAAATCATGTATTACGAAATTGATCCTTTTTTAAGTTGCAAAAAAAGTCCGCGGCAGGGACGAAAATGGAAGTGGAAGTTCATATAGGGCATTAAATCGTTAATACAGTAACCATTCAATTTGTCATTTAAATTATATTCCATGTTATTCTTTTCCAAATTCATTATTAAATCAAGCTGTTTACGCAGGATTAAATAATTTTTTTAATAATTTTAATGGGTACGGTCTTTGTCGCTAATATTAAATGCATATGTTATATCGGTTAAGTACACGAAAATGTTACATTTAGTTGTCACCACTGGGAACTAGATGACGCTACTGAACTATTAAAACAGGATTTTGATTTTCTTGTTTCTAGTTAGTTTTTCCAATTTTTATCAAACAAAGTAGCTTTCGTTTTCAAGTTTGCCGGTTTTCCAATAACATAATTCGATGGGGAGTGGTTAATCTGGCGAAATAATAAAAGTCTACAATTAGCTGTTTTCGCTAGATGACACTACTGTGTTTTTAAAACTGGTGTGTTTGTTTGTTAGACTTAGAATTGTATGTAACAAAAAATATATTTGTAATTTTAACACAAGATTTCCTAATACATTACATTTGCCATTTATAAGAACCGATTATTATAAGAGAAACTCAAATTATTGCCACAAAAAATATATAAATCACGTTTTAAAACATGGATAGTTAATAAATGTTTTTATTCAGTAAATGAGTTTTTAAATGAAATATATTATTTAAAACACTTAAATTTAATAACATTATAGTTAATAACTAAGTACCTACAAATAGTTTAATTTATTGCATGCTATTTAACTGTAGAATATGAGATACTTATATAGTTTTCTTTAATTTAGTAGTTGGGAGTACCTATGTTTTAATAATCTTTGCCTTATGACTAAAAAAGGATAGGGTATTTATTCTACTACGTTTGAAATAATACTAGTAACTGTTTATTTTATTTTTAAAAAGCCATAACATAATTATTATGCAAAAATGAACACGTTTTATTGTCTTAAAATTAAATCAAAATTTAAACTTATTTTACACCCGCTGTCGGTCATGTTTAATGAAGTCATTATGAAATGTACACAAAACAAATGCATAGAGTAGAAGATTAAATGTCAATATAATCCCATCTAACGATCAGGACCATCTAGGAATTTGATTTACAATTAATAGGTATATCTTTATGTCTAATCTGGCAGCTGTCACCATCCTGACGTCACATAATGACGGGTCGTATTTCAAGTCACGTGATACGCAGTCAAAAAATCACGACTTTTAATTTTAAGATAATCGTGTGATTTTGAGACTCAAAATCAGAATCTCTACGTTTATTACGATGTAATTTTGTGTGCAAATTTATGTGTTATTTTTCACCACCGAAACTACCCTATTATATTATAGGTTTTCTTTTGACTTTCCAAACTAATTTCAATATCTTTCTTTGCTTGTAATTGTAAAAACTACATAGGTTTTAGATGTTTAGGTAAACAGCTTTTTGTAATGAATACACGTGTTTTATATGCCTTAAAATTAGCCTATAAACCGGCCATGTGCTTGTCTACTCATGCACAAGGTAGGGATGTGAGATTAATAGAAAATAATCGATTTAATAAAAATCGATTTCCTTTTATAAATTATAAATCGATTTGTCAATAATCGATTTCAATGAAAATAAATAATCGATTTTTGCGAAAAATCGATATTTTTTCTATTATTTAAAATCCTACATGCTTTGCATATTCCAATAATAAACCTAAAAGATTCATATTAACAATATATCAGATTAAAAAAAAAAATAATATGAATAAAAAAATTGACAATTCAAAACTAAAAATCAAAGCAAATGTTCTTTTAAACTTTCAAGGTAAGGAATAATAAAACCAAATATCATTATTGATAGAAATTCTCAGTATCTTTAAACGTTATATAATAATAAAAATGAGCACCCCAACAAAATGACAACCTTATTGTCGCAAAAAATTAAATATAATAATAAAAAAAAAATCGTCATGAATGTAAATGTTTACTTTTCGATAAATATCAACATACCTACAGATGGCGCCGTTTTTATATAATCAACTTTTAAGTAATAATGCTTCGAGTTTTTTCATTTGGCGCATAGATGATGCTATTTATGAAAATCGATTTAACCGCGTAATTTATTTAATCGATTTGTTAAAAATCGATTATTTTTTAACATCCCTAGCACAAGGGTTCCGTACCAAAGACGTTGCTGTTTGGGGAGCCCCCTTAAATATTTATTTTATTCTGTTTTTCAGTATTCGTTCTTACAGTGGCAACAGAACTAAATCATAAAAAAAATTAACATACTCGTTGAATATAGAAAAACCTCCTTTCGGATTTTGATTAAAATCGAAATGCGCAATCTTTGTTTTTTTTTGGTTAAATAAACATATCATCTAAATATTCTACAAGTGAATATCTGATGAAAAGCTGTCGAATAAAAAAAGAATTTTGCAAAGCGGAAATATTGGTGAACACACATAAAAATATAGTGCTGTCGAACATATAACTTCCTACTTTTAGATTTGAAGTCTGTTAAAAACAATAGAAAAGATCACAGCATGATCAGTTCATGAATCTATACTGGCTGGAGCGCCGAGCTTAGATTTATCTCCTAAACTATAAACCTACTGATGATGAGGTTTAAATAAATAAAACTTTAATTATAAAACTCAACGAAATAAAATCTGATTTTATTTTATATAATTTCATCTCCTGTAGCTACCGCACCTATGGCTTCTGTGTCATCTTCAGCCTCTTCAGAATTCGACCCCGACTCGTCGTCGCTACTGCCTTGCTGTTAAAAACATATGCCACTGTTAGATATCTACTTATGTACTTAAAAATATATTTGCTGTCAACAAACGAAGTACGAGAGTAAGGCGTTCGCTCAACTGACCTTTCGCTTTACAATAAAGTACAATAAAGATTTACAATGAGTCTTGTTTCAATAATTATAATTTTTAAAATACAATGCACTAGTTGTCCGTCTTATTCACACTCGGCGGTATCACACGCGCGTATCGAACTTAGCCATATTATTATTTATTTTTACAAAATGTGCCACTTCAGAAATTTATTTTTAAATAAATTTCCCACACTAGTAATTTATTTTTAACTGTATCTAGTTTAACTTTCTAATTTACCTCAAGTTTCAGGTCAGCTCCAGCGGCGTTGTTGCCAAACAACGTATCCTTCATATATTTAGCGATGTAGTCTCGACATAGTTGGTCTGTGTTTGGTGGTAGCCAGCCACGTGTCTGATGGCAGAGGTATCCCGGCGGCGGCTCAACGGCCAGTAGCTCTTCCACCTCTGGCAGCTTCACATCACAGTACTACAAATATAAAACAATATACACTCTTAAGAAATTAGGAGTGAATTTATATCTTCAGCCTAAATCACTGACATTTACAGTAGACAGAGAAATATGACAAAAACCTACTGATTTTAGTCCTCGTTTTATAATAAGACGAAAACAGTAGACCTTAAAAATTAATAGACTATGGCTGCCCCAATTCAGCATTTATAAAATAATAAAACAAATAATACCTGGTAAAACATCTGACGTTGTGTTGGTACTATTCCTGGACGGAAGCATACCGCTCCTTCTTCTACTTCCTCGGGATTGCAACCATCGTCAACTCCAACTTTCTCAATGCGTCTATCACGGTCTGCCCTTTTAAACTGTGTTAGCTGGTCCCTTTTCATAATCATAGCATTCATTCCGGCTATAAACAAATTTGATTCATAAATGTAGGATTTGTAACATATATAGGTAGATTTTTGAGAGGGTAACAATGAAGGCCTTGACTTTCTCATTTTAACGTTTTTAATGTTCTATGTGATGTGACCTTACATGAAAGACTATAACATCTGGACAAAGTCACGGGCAAAAGCTAGTAACAGTATATTTATGCTTACCAGTATGCCTCACCCTTACATCTAATATTTGGTATACTCTTGATTCTGGAATCTTTCTAGGATCATATCCAAATCGGACCCACAGCTGCTTCCATGGACCATTTGGCATATAAACAGCAACACATGGCAGAATAAGTTTTAATACTGCCATTCTATACTTTGTTTGGTAATTAAGCATATTGTAAGACCATATCGGCCTTTCATTGAACATCTGTAATGTAGAATGCTTATGTCAGTAAATAATGAACAATATATTTCTAATGAATCTTATAACAATATGCATCTTATATATGAATTTTATAATCATATAATTAGCTGATCCAGGCCCACCATAGAAAAATACCCTACCTCATGCATAAAATAACTTCATTATTAACAAGATTCATGGCTGAGGCCCCTAGGAAAAATCCCTAGCTAATGCATAATGTCAAAGAAAAAGAAAAGACAGATTGTCATTGAGTGAAATTAGCACTAGCGGCTTTTATAAGCCAGTGAAATTAACTATATTATATTTTAAAATGAATACTCTTGTGTTTATATTTCTAATGCATTAATAAATTATAAATCAATTATTTGTGTTTAACCTTTTTCACAGTTTCCAATTCTTGTGCAACCTGTGGTTGTAATTTAATTTTCTGATTTATTCGCTTCAAACAATATTCATTTGGTTCAGATGGCAACTCATTTGTTAAGCTAAATACGTATTTGAGTTTAGGTATAACTCTTGACTTTCGATGAATATTGAGCACTTTATCACTGTACTCCGTTTTCTCTGGATGTCTCTTGTTAGTGTAAGCATAGTTATACGGTCTATCAGCTCTAGTGAAGGTACTTGGCACAATATGCATTGGACCTGATTCTCTGTAACAATATTATATATAGTGAAAACTAGTAATGCAACCAATACTCCTTATTCCACAAATATGAATATTAACAATTAAACACTTTTAAATTATGTGCAGAAAACATACATTTTGTAACATAAATGTTAAAAAAAATAACCATCACAATAATAACAATAAACTGTTTAAAACTATTAATTTATCTAAACTGCTACTGCTGTATGGGTGTCATGGCCAAATCGTATTATTGACCAATACAAGATGTGGCTGGCCGTTTAATGAAATCTTTGTATTTCATGGAATGGAAAAAACTTGCAGCCGACATCATTAAGTGGCCTGGTCATATCAATGAATAATTTCATGTATAATCATAACACTAACATGCTATTACAGCAAATAATTAATTTCTTTTTTGGCCACCCTACATTAATGATATTACCAAATATGGATTGCCATATAGGTATACTGCTTTGCTAACTGTCACAGTCAACATCGTTTAATAAAAAAATCATAAGTAATATATGCATAGCTAGATTTGCACCTGGTACATAGGTGTATAAATGATTTTAACTTTTGTAATAATCATCTTTTAATAAACAAATTAAGTAATAAAGAGCATAGAAACATTTGCCCCTGGTACACAGGAATATGGTATTTTAACTATAGCAATAAAATAAATACAAAATCGGTATTGGTCATTGTAAAGTGGCTTCACAGTAGGGATGATGACTAAATTTTGTATGTTAGTCGTTAGGTAGATTATTGAAGAAAATTAAACACATATGATCAATTAATTATAGCAATACATTGGGTTGGAATGTCGCATGACATCAAACTTTTGTACCTTTTCTACTAAACTGTGAAGTAGTGGACCCCCACTCTGTAACTTTAATGCCATGGTTTAAGCTATTTCTTGTTTAAATTGAAGCAAAAAAAAAAGTATATAATATTTTTCCATTATCTGGCTGACAAACTAAATAGTTTTTTTTTTTACCCAGTCGGCATCCCTATTATCTTGAGTTTTAACAGTTGATATAACCTCAAACATTATTTACAAATTACCAATGATCCCAGCCACCAGATGAAAAGATGCTTAGATATTATTCTATTATGAAGAAAAAACTAATTTAAATTGTCAGTCAACAGTAAGTAGATGCAACCTTTTAGAAAAGTGGACATGATTCTTTGTGTTTTACTTACGTCATAAAATCAAAATTATCCAATCCTGATGGGAATATTTTGTCCAAAATACATTGATAAGCACCACTCGGTTCTCTTTGTATTGGTAAATATTGAAAGTCACACATGGCTGTGAAAAGCATAATAAATAAGAGATTCAATTGTAATAAAAAAGTAAAAATTTCCATATTATATTACAAAAATTACACAGAAACATAGCAGCTTACATTATTTAAACAAAGCATGGCAGTGATTAATGATTATTATTTTATTGATACTAACATACTTACATTCAAATTTATGTATCCTTTTTACTTGACCTACCACTGTTGTTGATATAACTTCTTTTTTCAATTCATTATCTATTTTGGTTTTTTTAATTTTAACTTTCAATAATACACCAGCTGTTTTCCTACACTCTCCATATATTTTTTTCATAAATGGATCTTCTGGTCGAAAGCTAAGGCTCAATTTCTTGACCGATTGAGAGTAAACCTAAAAAAAAATAATTAGCATGTCTTTTTTTATTAAATGAGTTCTCTTTGAGTTACTACACAAATATTGTTAATTACTTACCTGAGAAATATTTCTTATGCCTCCCAAACATTGAATAGCTTTGTCGACGTTTTTAACAATTCCAGGGAATAATACACAAGTAAGCTCAGGAGGTGGTTCCGAACAAGCCATGTTATATAAAATTAAATAATTTCATGTAATGTATCAACAATGCAATTCACGCATACAGAACAAATCACAAAACGACAGAACAATATAACAGACCTATGTAGTTTGTGAATATTAACTTTCAATATAATATAAAAGCACTCTTTTATATTAACAAACTATGCATAACCTCTGAATAAGTAGGTATTTATCCAGTATTATTTTTCTCTTTGGTATTATAAAGATAACAAGGTGCAAACAAAGAGTAAAAGTATAATACAAATGACAACAAAAAAATCGCAAACTAAAATTATATTATCTATGGAAAAGTGATGGACTTAAGTCAATCAAGTGAATTTTTTCGAACACGTACTCGAGTGACAAAACATATCACTCGAGTTATAGAGGTAACTCGGTGAATCGGGTTGATTCTCTTGCCACTAGATGTCACTGGTGGTTAGTAACATAATTTTATTTCATGACGGTATTAACTTTTTTGCTGTATCTACAAATTCTTGACAACGAAAATGAGCAATGTTGACTGGTCTATTTCATCTTTATAAGATTTTACCTAATTGGTACGACAGTGAGGCGACTCGATGGCACAGTTACTAGCAAGCTCGGGCTACGAATCGCAAAAAAAATATGAAATGATGAATAAATACTAGATGAGCATGACTCATGCATGCAAGTATGACCCCTTACTCCTTAGTGTAGAGTCGAAAATCGTATAATTTATAAAAATACAGGTGGATTAAGCATTAAGAAATATAGAACCGGTGCAGCCTAGTATTGAAAAATACGTAGTAGATAGATCTGTTCTAAATACACCTCATCTCTATCTACGATACGGTTTTGAAGAAGAACAAAAGAAGAACCTGTAGGTTTTGAAATTTATGATTAATATAAATATATTTTTGCTGGGCTGACGTCAGCGCGAAGATTTGTTCATTCCCAAACTACTTAACTTGGTAATCTGTCTCATTTCGTAAGGGAATGATAAAAAAGAGAGAAAAGAAATCATTTCAAAATCCGAGCGAGAAGATATAAATGTTTTTCTTATATCTTACATCTAAAATGAAATATATGTATAAAAACATTTTGAGGGAGATACACAAAGTTTTTAAAAACCATAAAATATTCATAATTACATTTATTATAGGGCTAACTTACTTTAATATCACAATATACATTATATGACAACGACATACCATTAGGTACTTAAGTATATTAATAAGGGCACTGATCGTAATAATATTCAAATCACATGTAATTCACCCATATATACACTAACCAAGGCATAAAACGGCATCCAAAACTGTCAATTTTACCAATTGGTTTTAAAAAATAATTTCTCTCTTTAAATATTTTTCTTTAAGACCATATAATTACTAAGATGAAATCTGAAAACAAAATGCTAGTGTAAATCCTATTTGTTTAACTTTATGTTACTTTCATTATATTGATTAGTTATTTATATTTATTAGATATTATAGAGAATTAGAATTTATATCCTAACTAGATTGCGGTGTTGTAGCATGGGGCATAGCTGCTCAGTTGACAATGGATTATGGCTGTACTATCGTTGTGCCACAGCCTCGATAGCAACAAGTAATCTGAAACAATCAATTATAAATAATTAAATTGAAAACTACCCTCTTTGAATACCAAAAGAAACAGTCATAGACGCAAGTCATCAGGGCAAACGTTTTCTTTTTATATGAACTATGCCATATCATATGCAATACACCTGCCAAATGTTGAGCAACAAGGGTAGTGTGTAGGTCTCTCCTCCATGTGAGGTAGAATCCTGGGTCCTCCCTACTGATATACCAGGTACAGCTAGGCTTTAATTTTTTCTTTACAGTACGCATAGCATGACGAACGCGAGAACGTTTTGTCTACACTCAAATGTCACTTTTCTCGGGTGCGCCCATACGATATCTGACTCTCGACCCGAGAAACTGACAAATGAGTGTAGACAAAGCATTTCTCGAGTTTGTATGTGTGCGTGCAGGACATTAAAGTTGGAGAGGTGTGGTATAAGGCATAAGATATATTTTTCTGGCATTATTAAAGAAATGAGTTTTTCATTGTGTCTTAAAGAACCAATAAACTTACTTTTCTAATAACAGATTTCTTTGTCTTTCAATGTCCAATCTATCTTTTTCAATCTTGAGCCTTATATTATTGCACCTTTTTTTCTCAAGAAGTTTTTGTTTCTCTATTCTTATTTTCTCTTCTTCAAGATTCAGAAGACGATCATGTACAAGCCCTGAAAAATATATATAAACTTATTATAATTTCTTTATTATTATTAATATATTTTAATCTTAAGTCTTTCTAAGAAACTACATCATGGTAACAGTAACTATATACCTATTGGATTATTATATCTTCGTTGTAATATTATTGAAAAAAAAAACAATGAAGTGTACTACTAACTGACTGGCCGGCTTTTCTTCCAAACAGGCTTCACTGCTGTAGTTTCTGACGACACTCCACTCGAGCCAATAACAGCTTCTGTATCTACTCTTGCTCCTTCATCTAAGCTTATTCCCATTTCATTTTGCATATAATGAGGAGGATCTGTAGACCATTTCTAAAATCATTTAATAAAGATATTACCAAATTAAAAACTATTAGTACAATGAAAAAAAAAATTAGGAGCAATGTAGTGGAAGTTTTGCAATAGTACACCAGAAGTTGAGGTGAGACATTTTCTATATAACAACTGTATATAGAAAATGTCTATTACTATTTATGATAAAAAAATATGTTAAAATATATGGGATTTTTTTAACCATTCCACTTGTACTTGGATCATTATTGCCTAATTCATCAGGCAGGATGTGGCTTTCAGAGGAAATCTGAAACAGACATAAAGAAGTAACGTATACAGCAGTTACAAATATAAAAAATTGTTTCCTTTCTAATAATTTTAACTCACATGGGTACTGTTTGGTGCTGCTGATGTTTCAGGAACTCCGACTAAACCAAAAACTGATGTGTTGGAACAAATTAGCCGTAAAATTCTTTCTTCTGCTTCTGTTAATTGAGTACTACTATTACAACCAGGTGTAAAGCGGTTTTGACGTATTTTAAATGCTTTCTTTTTGACATTGGATTTCCAATCTCTCCATGTCTAAAACAGGCATCAAAATGTGTAGTGCCTTCTTAGTTAGATAAATAAATTACTTTGACCTTAAAGTTTGTAATCAATGTCTAGGTTTCTTGGTTGCTGATTTACAAGTTTTATGATAAAGTTTCAAATTGAGAACGTCCAATAAAGATTTAATTTAAAAAGAAGATAAGTTATGTCCATTTTTCTTTAATTATATTGAAAGAAGTTAAACCTGCTGCCATTTATTTGGAGTTTTAATAGCTCCCGAACCAAATCCTGAGTTAGCATTCAGTTTTTCAGTTATGGTAATCCACGCATTTGTTTGTCGAATTCTTCCATCCAAACCTGTAAACTTTCCAAGGGCAAGCTCCTTGTCCTCTTCTAAAAAATGTAGGAGCATATTTAATTGCTCTGGACTGGCCTTCCGTCTTTCCATATCTGTTTCGTTTGTTTGTAATTAAACGACATTAAATATTGTATTATTAGATTGTTAACTTATTTTTATTTCTAACGATTGTATATAATAAACACTAATTACTTTAACTTTTGGAACGAAAATTGAACGAAAACTTAAATTTGTTTCTAACACAGACCAAGGAGATTATGAATTATAAGCAGAGTTTTATTTATTTCATTTCACTTGTTAAGTGGTCTTTGTTATTGGTTAGGGGTGGGACATTCGATACAACTGAGTACATACATACATACATGCGGCTACTACAAATGTCCGTATAAGTTAACTTCGTCGCTTTGTGAAATTGGAGTGTCTTTAATTACATCAGCATAACTCTAAAAGTAATAATATTTCAAGTATGAAAAAAAAAATCGTGATAAAATAGAGTATTTTGAAGCGCTTTACGAAAAAAAGTGAATTTGACCTAAAATGTAGCTGTCAATATGTTCTTTGCTGCCGTCGACTTGTCTTTGTCCCGGTCAAAGGAATAGTTTCCATGTTCTATTGTTCTACCATTATAGTAAAGAAACGCAGACAAATTGAATTTAAATGAATACACTGTTTAATTCAGTTATTTCGTATCGAGACCATGTCGAAGCTCAAACCACAGGTTGTTATTCGTTTTCTCGCAATCACGCAAGTTATGTTTTCCTTGGGTTTTGGATTTTGAATTTTTTAGTTTCCTTGGTTGCAATTTATCAACTACTAATTGACACTAATAATCAGTTTTTAATTAACATCTACATGTTATATAGCACTACTGCTATTATGTCAGAATGTACTAAATAAATACCATATCCTTAAGAGGCTATTCAATTCCGTCAACCTCGAAGGCATAACACTTCAGTATGGCACGGCAGTATTGTGGTCTTAATGAGGAAGTGTTTTAAGAAAAATAAGAAAGCACTAAAAAGCACCTCACTATATGGTGACTCGAGCAAAAGTTGACTTCTGCAGGAAACGGATGAACCAAAGATGGTCATTTCCGTTCATTTTAACTAACATATTGAAAAACTTAAATTTGCAAAGTTAGAAACTTAGATATCAATACAAATCAATACAACAAAAGAAAATGGGAATGGTTGTCATGGAGGAATCAAGAAAGTACCATAGTGACATCTAATTAGATTTCGGGAACTGATGTTTTTTTTTAAATACTCCCTCATTATCAAAAAGGTAGAAAAGACCATCTTCAAAACCTTTTGGAATGTATCGCTGTTGAGTCATGCCTGTAACTTATTTTCGAGAGTCTCATATCATAAATCGTTTCGAAAGAAGGTTTGACAACTTGATAGGGATGCACCACCTTAGACCACATACTTGCTTCAATCCAAATACTGAGGAATAAAATTCATCACGCTGTTTGGTGTTTGTTGTCTATAAAAATCCTTTGATTCTCTGGGCAGTTTTGCAGTCTCTTTAACGGTGGCGTTTTGACTATCGTTACATGGAAGTATTGAAGTGCTTGTATGAATATACCACTATGTCAATTTGCCTCCAGGAACAGAATTCAAAGCCTATCCGTCTACAGTATGGTATCAATTAAGGTGACGTTATATCACCGAACCTGTACTCCGTTGAGCTGGAAGACATCTTCAAGCTTCTGAAACGGAACGGACTTGGCATCAAGATCAACGGTGAGTACCAATGTTATCTACTTAGCACTTTCGGTGCTAGATTTGACACTATTAAAGTACACATAAGGTTAGCACCGAAATTCGACTTTTAGCACCTAGCACCACATCTAGCATAATTTAGTATTTTTTATTTATGTTCTTCTCACAATAAGATTTTATAGGTAAGATCTAAGAAAATGTAATGCAAGAGATTTAAAGATGATAAGAAAGTAAGTATATGATTAGAAAAAACAAATTAGAATATGGATATTTTAATCTAAAATGGTCCTCGTACGATCCTACATGAAACAAAAATCTGTTTCAAAACATTCCAACAGTGAAGAAGAATGGCTTAAGTTATGTTATATATTTTTATAATTAAAGAATATATTTTCGTAAGTTGTGTTTTTCTTAACTTTATGTTATACTGCACTTGTCTTATGTATCGACTTGGTAACACTACCGAGTACATCACTCATCTTCGTCCATGATCTCATAGACATGGCTGAGTACAATGCTCTAGGACCTCAGGAGGTTTACTCAAGTAATAGGACCACTGACAAGACGAACCCCATGTCTAACGTCTATATCTTGGGAACTCGACACTAGAAGTTGTTGACCATTACGTGTACTTAGCATTATAGCGTTTGAGAAGCTCCTAATTGTCTTTTTGTCCTAAATACTGCAATATCTTAAGAAAGTTATTAATCAATGTGTGTTGTCAGTGATGACATACATATAACACTCCTTAACCTTTTAACAGGTTCGAAATCACCTAGAAGGCGATGGAAAGGGTTATGTTTGGAATATCTCTGTGAGAACGAATCAGGGACGGGGAACAACCACAGTCTAGGAAAGCAGAGCTAAGGCAGGCCTCCCACAAGACAGATAAGCGATTAGGCCAGAATTACCGCTCATCGTTGCGATTGTTGGGGAAAGCCTATGTCTAGCAATGTACATTTTCCGGCTAATATCATGATGTATTTTTATATACCAGCAAATAGACCAGGAAGATTGTTATTTTATTTAAGTTGATTTGTCTCCACTTTATGTCAATTTAGTACCAATATACTCGTATTATGTTCCTCTATCAAAATTAATAATCACTTAAATTTAATATTTCTTTGTAATTTCCACGGAACATTATAAAATCCTTTTAAATTCCTTGGTCCAAAATTATTTACCTCGTAACTTTTGTTCTGAAAGGTTTATTAAAAAACCGTCTTATATAAAAATAGTCAGATTTTTATTGTCTATATATTAAACAAATTTTAATTAACTTAAAAATCAAATACCATTGAACATAGAAGAAAAATTTAGATTTTTGGCGAACTACCCAAAAACAACTTATGTAGTTAACAACTTAATAGGTACGTATAAATCAGCCGTGAGTCCATGTTATCACCGTAGATAACACAAAGTTCGGCGACAGCGCGAATACCAACACAGCACAAATAGTAAGTATATAAACAAACAAACATTTATGTTGTTTGGAAATAAATTTTCTCTTCCTTTTTTCACGTAAATATGGTGTATTATTGGATGAAATTACACTTTGTAAGTTACAAACTTATAAAGACTGATGACAGAGATACAGATAGACAGACGGACAGCGAATGCTTGGTAATAGAATCCCGTTTTTACTCTTTAGGTACGAAATATTTCTAAAAACTATTTTCAGAAAAAATTATATGTTCTACATATCTAATTAATCTTTTTTTTATATTTAATAGTCTATTGTTGGTAAAAAAGAATGAAAGTACCTATTTCTTCATTTTCAGATTAATCCCTGTTCCAGTTATTGTTATATTTTGTTTATGGTAGTAACATAAATACTCTTTGTAAACTTTTTTCTCTGAAATGAGCGAGCGCCATTTTTAAATAATTCACTCAGATTCATGAAACTTTTTTGCTATTTTGAAGATGCAACAAGAAGACAAGAATGCAATTTACCAAATGCGTTTTCCACAGAAACTCTGGTATTTATTGAATATGCATACTGATGCTATTCTATGGGGACGCACAGGTCGTACCATTCTTCTCAACTATCGATTACTTCATACTTATCTACAACGTGATCATTCAATATTTAAAACCACAAACATTTCAAGCTTCGTGAGACAATTAAATCTATATGGTTTCCGAAAAGTTACGTCACATTTGCAAGATCCGCTCTGTAACTCATGTAATCCGTACATGCATGAATATGTGCATGATTATTTTCAATATGGGAGACCTGAATTAATCAATAAAATATCAAGAAAAGCTCTAGCTATGAGGAAAAGTTTTAAGCCCAAGGTATTTTAAAAACTTTAATGAAAATTATTAATAATGCTTGTCTACTGTTCTGCTCTTTGGCTCAGTATCAGACATGCAACATATCGAAATGCTCCTTTGCGCGTTTGCAATTTGAAGATTTTTCTATAACTTAATACGTCTACTGGAAAAATGGATTGTTCATTGGAGTGAAATGAAATAGTAAACTATATTTGTTTAAAAGGCACTTAGAACATATTTCAAAAGTTAATCATAATACCAACTGCTTTTCGCTTGAACGCTTTAGCTAGCTAGCTTAGCATCGCATCGCCAACCGATATACTTTGGAAGAATTTTCGGGTGATAATAATTTGTGTCATTTTATAATCGCACGTACATAGTGCCTAGGTAGGATTTGAGTTCTCGCCTCGATATGCGATATTTAACTTTGTAATATATATTAGAACACAGAACTAAGATACGAAGTGTGTGCTAAAGCTCCTTGTGTACCCTAAAACAACGAAGGTACCTTATCACCCAAACATGAGATATATAAAAAATCCGATAGAAAATCAGTAATACATTTATTTAGTGAGTGAACATTAAAAGACATTGACAAAAAATTACGAAACTAGTCGTTTTGTAGCAAACTCCCTATAGTTTACTGTTAAGCGATTTTGCAATGAATGATTTTTTTCTACAGTACGTTGATATTTGCTATTTGAATGTTAATGAAGATCAACTGCGTAAATACGATCATGTCTCAGCTTTTCGAGCTCAACTTATCTGGCTTCTTATCCATCTTCGTCATGATATGCACATCCTTTCATTCCTTTTAAAAATTCTTAAAGATCCTAATTCACCCGCATACCTGAATTCCCTTTTTCAGAAGCTTTCTCCCCCATCCCGTCCCAGGCTGTTCTGTGTTATCAAAACTTTGGAGCTGTCTAAAAGTAACACCAACTTTCTCTTCAACTCCTTTTCACATTGAACAAACTTCCATTAAATATTCGAGACTGCCCCTCTATCATATCTTTCAAAACTAAACACAAGGAACACTTTCTAGCACAATGTTCTTATTCGTAATTTTGTAGTCATTGTTTTTTTTTACGTCTGTATATTATAATATTATATAATAATATTGTTTATTTTTTATTTATTTTCTTATATTATGCCTATATATATTAATGTTAATTCGCATAAAATTTTACAATTATACACTTGTCAATCTCCTGTCACTGCTTGATCTCCAACACCGCCTGGTTGGCTGGAAGAGATCTCTTATAGAGATAAGCCCACCCTTGCTTGTGATTTACCTACTAGTGTTATGTTAATTTTGTTTTTTTTGTCCAATATAGAGTATATTATATAATTTATCATAAAATTTGATTTCGTTCAAGTTAATCATTTTACTATAAATACAGAGTCCTAGTTGTAGCGTCGCCGGACTGACCTCAGTTCACTCACGTTGATTTCCAAAAAGGCTATAATATCCCTATTCCTATAATATAATATCCAAGAATTTATTTCAAAAGTCAGGATGGCGGCGCGTGGCGGCCGGGGGGGGAGCAGGGTTTCTAGGGCCTCTTGCCCTGAGGGGGCTCCAAAGGTTCACTCGAAATACATACAGCCTATATCGGTACTTTACATTTTTTAAGTTACAATTTGCTTTTACTGCCTTATCTTTCTTAAGTCCAGTTTCGTAGTTTTTACTTTCGTTAACTTTAAAACACTACGGCCATCAGCCATATCATATATATATATATATATTATATATATATATATATATATATATATATATATATATATATACACAGTACTTATATTATTTTATATTTAAATACTCGGTCGGGTAATTCCCGTGTAAACGCAATATTAAGTTTCTCCGGTTGGAATTTTTCTGTCCGCCACTGGGGTGGCACTGCCAGACTGACGACGCCCCGATATTTTTCCACAAGACAGTGATTTTAAAAAACTGTGCACACCGACGATAAGATATTCTATTTTCGGCAATCGATAATTTTAAAATATAAAAACAAGATTAAAAATTCGGTCACAATATATCTAGATAAAACTGGAATAGGTAGATTTCTATTTTGAAGTTGTTTTTCAATGTGTTATTTAATAAATAATTAAGTTTTATTTATAAATACATTATTTTTCATAGATTAGATACAAATGAATACAGTCATTTCAGTCAAGGTGTAGTTTTTTTTCAGAGCATTTATAACAACGAAGACCATTTAGTGTATTTATCGCCTCTGCAGAAAGCGCGTAGGAGTTTACGAGAAGCTTTAAGAAAAGCTGCTCAAAATATGTTCATTCAAGATTCACCGAGACAGAGTAATGAAGATTTGAATTTTGAATGGGAAGGTAAAATCTCTATTGTCATGTGTCAAGTGATGGCACCGCAATACAACTTGAATAGTGTCAAACATTATTCTAATTACAACCTATACAAAACTATGCTTAGTGCACAGTATAAGTAAGTCTTTGTATAGTCAACTTCATGACAGACTATACAAAACTGACAAATTTCCCTATGGATGTTAAAATTCATTACAGAAATTTGACATATATACATGACGTGCACAGTTAAGGTTACTAGACAGTCGGGATTAGGGGCCATCCATAAATTACATCACACGTTACGAGGGGGGGGGGGGTTCAACCAACTGTGACATTAGAACAATATTTAGTAGAACTTGTATAGACAAATATGTGACAGGAGAGGGAATAAAAGTCAAATTTAGTCTGAAATAGAAAGTATTAAAAAAAAATAGTTAAAATTAAACTAGATGTCGCTACAATATTTTCTTGATTTCTCCATGACAACCCTTCCGGTTTTCTTTCATGTATAAAGTAAATTATTTTTAAAACTCAATTAACAACTCTATTTCTATTTGTATTGATATCTACCGGAGTCCCTAAAAAAAAGGAAATGTTCTAATGTTCTGTCAAATAATTTGCATTCATAAAATCATTCAATCAACCAATCAATGGCTCGGTAACGGCTGTAACAACCTGGAAATAATTCCATTATCTTTGCTTATTAATTATTAATATTTTTCCAAGGCGACGGATGAATGTATCGATGTTGTCCTGAGTAATCCCGATTTTATGTAATTTTACGAAGATATTTTACTCTTCTCCTCTGGTAACCCTACGTGTAGCCGTGTGAAAATTGTAATGTTTAGAAAACTCGACACTTTTTTAAATGGTAACAATGAAAAATCTTCTGAAATTACCGATTCATAAGTTAAATATATACCTTGCGTAAAAGGCATAAAGTTACTTTTTCTATTGTGAAGATCGGATCAGTAATTCAATTGGACTTAATGTTTTATTCCTTCTTGGCTAGTATGTGAGACTCCATGAACCCACACATTAGGCCTCGAAGGAAGGGAGCGATCTAACCTAACGATGCTATTATGCATGCACGATGCATATCCTGCGATTAGTGTTAGAGTTCCAGTCACCGACAAAGTATAAAATACTATTACGATGCGGAAATTGCATTATGGCCAGATTTGCGTTAGGATACCTAAGGTGTGATAAGGTGGAATGGGGAGTTTGTCGAGCGTTATCAAAAACCAGGACAATATTAATAAGAAATCATGACCATACTTAAAATCGAGAGTATCTCAGAAAATTTGGAATTTTTTCGATTCGAGTTCGGGTCGCCAGCAGGGTTGCCACCCGCAACCATGCTGGTGCCCCAAGTGCCGAATAATTTACTGTTTATACTTTTCAACAAACTTCAGACAAATGTTTATTCTGTCCAGACCCACAAGATGAACTGTGTGATAGTGAAGAAAACATTCAGTTAGATTGGCTTCTTACAAAATACTATGACAAATCTAAAGAACAGTTTCCAGTACCAGGTTTTGTATGCCCTATTGTTAAATGATCAGTATACATATATCATTCTTACTCCACTAAGTATTAAAACTTCTTCCCAACTTTGTAGATTTGAAAGGGGTTTCAGAAAATAAGAAGAAAGTTATTGAAAATGATAACAACTTTGGGTAATATATTTTATAAAGCAATATTTTGTATTAAAAATTATTATTTTACATTATATATATAATGTATATAAATATAATGTAAAATAATAATTATAATGATATAATGTAAAATAATCTTTACAGGAATAATATTCAAGAAGAGAACTTGATAACTTTTAAGGACACAAATGAGCAAACCAATGAAAACTTCTCAACCCCATTTTTGAGTATGCCTGATCTAGAACCTGAACCAAATGAGGAAAAAACTGGTATAGAGTTACTGGCAGAGTTCAATATTGGTCATGATCCCGATCAAAGTGTTATAAGAGATGTAAACCAAAATAAAGAAAGAGAGCAAATCTCATTGAATTGTGTTCTACCATCAATAAGCAATGATGATGTTTCTATAGAGGTACTGAATAAAAAGTTTTGTTGTTCAGTCCTTATTCACTAGTTTATTCTTTAACCATGTTTGCTTTTCAGAAAGACAATGAGACCTTAAACCACTACAATGGTGAATGGGACCAAATGTTTAATGATATTATGATTAGTAAAGTAAATAACCAAGATAGTGGCTCAGAATTAAAGGAATTGTACTCTCAAATTTCAAGAACTATTGATTTACTTAATGATTAAGTTTACTAACCCAACATTAAAGAACTGATAAGACATTATAAAAAGTGTTCTTTAATTATAATATTAATATTACAATTACTTCTTCTGTTTTTTCTTTTCTGCTTCTTCTTCTTTTTCTTTTTCAATTACAGAGACATATGAATTGATGGTATCCAAATCAAGCATTTGCATTGGTTGTCCACGTCTCATCACAGCTATTTCTAAATTCTTTTGTCCAGATTGTACAACTTCCAAAAGAGCACGAATGGCAAGCTAAGGGATAAAATTGTTATTTCATATAAATATAAGTATATAGATGAAACTAACTTATAAATAGAATGAATTAGTATAAAATATCTGTATTTTAGATAAACTACTACCATTCATAAATTTCTATAATTATTTTTTTAATATTTAAGAAATTGTCAATGAGGACATTTTAATTTATGAATGAAAAGTAAAATTACCTTCACAGCTCCTTTCTCATTAGCAACCTCTTCTTGTGTGTAATTCTTTTCCAAAAATTCTCTAACAGTTTTAGCAGATCTGCCAGTAGCATTAGCTTTCCATTCATAGTAAATTCCAGAAGGCTCAGTTTGGAAAAGGTGTGGCTGGCCATCATAGTCAAATCCACCAATAAGACATGAAATACCAAATGGACGACGTCCATTACTCTGAGTATATTTTTGTTTAAGACCAGCAATATATCTAGTGATATACTCTAAGGTTACAGGATCTTCAACTGTAAGTTTGTGAGACTGGCATTCAATTTGAGCTCTGTTTATAAGTATTCTAGCATCAGCAGTCAAACCAGCAAATGCCATTACAACATGATCATCGAGGAGGCATATTTTTCTCACAGTTCGTTCTTCTTGTAACTTTGCAACAGACTTTTTCTCGACACCTAATACAACCACATCGGCTCCCCTAACTCCCACCTGTAAACATAAATAAATCAGCTATGACATATGAATTAATATAAGTCTGTTGATTACGTTATAAGGTGCATTAATTGTATTGTAAAAATAAGGTACTTATTATTAGTAAGGTAGGTTATTATTGTGACCAAAATAATAAAGATCTGGTAGAGCGGTCTGAAATGAGCGGGCGGCGAACCGCCAAACTCAAACTTCTATGCGCAACCTTTATCTTAAATTAAATGAAAGCTTGATACTTACCGCTGTAGAACCTTTACGAACGGCTTCCTGAGCATATTCTACTTGCAGCAAATGACCATCTGGGGAAAACACAGTAATAGCTCTATCGTAACGTGCCGACATTTTGACAATTGGTTCTTTTGCGATTTAACGAATTGAATATATTTAAACAGTTATAATTATCTTGGCTGAGAAATTGAAATCGAGCTACCTGTGCTTCGGTTTTGATGTTTGACTTTTTGTCATGTCATGATAGACACCATAGACACAAAAGCAGATATTACCACAGAACAATATACAGATTTAGCGCTACTTTTTAATAGAATCATCACTTCGACGGACACGCATGTCGGGAAGTGAATGGCGTACTTTAAAAAATATTTTGGCTTTCTTATGAATGGTCTGCTACTGTTTTCTCTCTTCTCTATGGTACTAGACCTATGAAATGATACACAGAACAAATTTGTTCTGTGATCTGACATGATTATCATAGAGCAAATTATATTATGTATTAAGTAGTCTGTGGTCGAGAATATGGCGGCTGCGGCAAACGATTTCGAGCCGTGGTTATCTGATAAATTAAAATCACTTAAAACCGATGAAGGTATATTTGGATCATACATTTCAGGTATTCTTGAAAGTGAAGAAAGTACCGATGAAAAAAAAGATGCATTGGAAGGTATACTATCCGAAATTGTGGTAAGTTGAGGAGTATGGTTCGAACTTGATACAAATTAAATAAAAGTTTGGTTATCTTTCGTATTTTATGGTGAATTTTAATATTTAACAGGAAAAAGATATATCTATTCATGTAAATGAAATAATTGAAAAATGGGAATCTACTAAACCAAAGGAAGCAGCTTCTAAACCATCGACAGATGTCGATGCACAATTAGCGAAGTTGCTTGAATCACAGGCACCTGCAGCTACTGCACGCCGAGAGTATACCGATGAAGAGAAAAAGATACGAGAAGCCATATTATCCCAATATAGTCAGCTATCAGATAATGAGGTAATGAATATAAATTGTTAATGTATCTTGTACTTAATCAATTGTATTCTGTTCTGTTCTTTTATGAACTATTACTATCACATAAAATAAACATTCTTACTTATTTATAGGTATATATTGATGGTAGTAATGAAGAAAAGTATAGTTTTCATAAAAATATAAAAATTTTGTATTGTGAATGTGTCAAATATTTTAATTTGCAATTTTTTTTTATTATAGGAAGACGAGGTGCATGATGAGATATCTGACAATCATGATTTAGTAAAGAATACAAATGCAGCTGATGTTGCAGCAGCTGCTCGTGAACGCCGTGAACAAGCTCGTTTAGAGGCTCAGCGAAAAAAAGAAAAGGACAAAGAAGACAGGTAGATCCAAGAAATATTATACTAAATCAGTATCTAGGTCTATGTCAATCATACAGTTTATTGCTACATAGTATAAAACAATGTCGCTTTCTTTGTATGCTTAAACATCCCTATATCCCTATGTATGCTTAAATCTTTAAAACTACACAACAGACTTTGATGCGGTTTTCAACAATAGATAGAGCAATTCTTGAGGAAGGTTTTAGTGTATAGTAAGTTTAGGTTTTGTACAAACTGACGATATTACAACAATATTAGTTCAATATGTGTGAAAAAATAAAGCTGATCGGAAGCTTTCCTCGAAAACACTGCTTAAAACTTTTGAGCTATAACAATCTCGATGAATGAAAATGAATTGCCGAAACATATATACATAAAACTTCAGAATTCAAGTTCCGACTGCACCAAATTGGACGATTCAATTTTTTATATGTTCCACGATTCATGACACAGTTTATATATAAGATTAAAATTAAAAAAAACGGGTATAAGGCGGTACGAAGTTCGCTGGGTGAGCTAGTATTATCTTAATTTTGCTGTGCTTTATTGTTTCTAAATTTAATATGATCAACTTTGTAAACTTGCAACTAAAAGAGTATGAAATTGTAGTTAATGCCAAAGTAATCTTTTTTGAAAAAACTTATGAGTTTATACTTTTGAAACATTACATTTTTATTTTCTTATAGAAATCCTTTGACTATTTAGTTTTTTAAGGTTGTTTGTCCAAGTAAAATGTAATATACTATTGGAAAGCATCCATAAAAACGCATGTTTTACAATATGAGCTATCACTCACAGTCTGGCATGGACATTTCTGATATGGCATTAAATAAATAACATAATTTGTACAAAATCAGTATCTTTTTAAGACATTATTGGTCTCATTATCTTTTTCAGGGAAAAACAGAAACAAATGAAAGAGGAGAAGAAAGAAAAACGTAAAACACAAAAAGGCGAGAGAAAGAGGTAGCAACTAAAATGTTGTCAGTAAGCAGTATGCATTAGAATGTAAATTAGTAAAACTGGTGAAGTATAGCAAGTTTTGTAAAATCACTATGGATATGCTTTTATTACCATTCAAAGTTAACATTTAAGGTTTGTTGGAGCCAAGAATATAACAAAAAGGGATGAAATGGCATGTTTATTCTTGCAATATGCAAAACTTACCTAAATATAAGTCATTCAAAGCAATAAATCTCCAGTGTAATTTCCTTGAAATAGATTTGTTATGCCGTTCGATGTCCTTTTTTAAGTGTTTGTACTGAATAAAAGTAGGGACCATCCATATACAACAGCACACAAATTTCATGATTTTTATTGTTATATCTTATCCATACAAATTCTATAAAATATTGTACTAATCTAATATTTTGTGGACAGTTTCGTAGACCCTCCTTTTACCTTTTGTAAATGCTTTCTTTTCCTTGTCCACCTTTTATGTGTAATCAACAAAGACAGTTAAGGAAAACATTAAATGTTTGGGTTGGTGCATATCTGATGGAAGATGCATAGCGTCTCGTCGGTTGCAGAAAACGTCAGAACTATTTGACGATTATGCTTTGAGATATTTGACGGATCTTTTGTCAGGTTTGCATGACCCTTTAGGAACAATTCATGCTGGTGCATTCAAGTTGTTTCATTGATCTTCAGTAATCTAAATTTGCATTGCCCGCTATTAATAAATATTTTTTTACTTCATCTTTGTTGAAATGTGTGTCATATGTACAATTAGGAAGTGTTCATGCAAAGAATGTGGGTTTAATAATTTTAGGCATTAAGAAATGCCAAACTATTATAAATTTTAAAAATCTATGTAAAGTGATATCACTTTAGCAAGTATGCAAAACTGCAGGCTTACTTTTGAACGCAAACTTAATGTCAATTTTAATCTTTCAATAATGATCTCAATTTTCATCAAATTTTAGCTCGTAATCTTGATACATGACTCAATGCTTACTCAATCTCAATTAGTTCATTCTATAACCACGCAATATAGAGGCAATTGGCGCTAGTGTTATGTTAGACGGCGGGCTTTTCCGCAACTTGACACTGTGCCTATTTTGCGTGACACGGGGTTGCATTAGTCCTGCCTCCCCAGTTCCTCCAGGAAGCCCATAAGTTCTCGAACTCTGCCGCATGCCTCCACTAGTGTCCTTACCTAGATGTGTAGTTCTTTGTCTTGATAGGCCTCTGCATTCCAGTAGCACATGAGCGTTTGTCTCTTCAGATTCCATGCACGCCCTACACAAAGGACTGTCAGAATAACCCATGTTATAAAGGTGTTTGTTAAAGTTTCCTACCTACTATTTGCCTTAAAGTTTGTCTAGGTAATTTGTTCAACTTACGTGCTAGTCGTAGGTCTACCTTCGAAATTGCTTCTTTGGTTTGCCTACAGTCTGCCATTTGTCACCAGTATTCATCATGTTGTCTGCTGCAACATTATCCCTCGACCCACTATGTCCCTTAATTCATTGTAGAGTTCATTTGTTTTTCTTACATACCATTGTTAGTTTACAGTGGCTTTGGTGTATTAAACCTGATGTCATTATGTTGTTGTCTAGTGCTTGTTATACTGATGCACTCTCAGAGAGTATACGGACATTCTTACCTCTCACTCTCCGGCATGCAATCGCCTCGGCAGCCTTTATTATACCCAAACATTCTGCCTAGAAGACCGTGTTGTAAGTTCTCAGCTCCGTAGATATGTGGATATTTAGGTCCTCGGAGAAAACACCCGCAACTGTACCTGAGTAGTTTTAGAGCCGTCTGTAATGACTTAGCTCCTTGTGGAGGTATGAATCTGGCGTGTCCTCGTAGAGTTGTATTTCTTGTCAAATACGTACCTTCTGGAAATTAAGTCGTTTATTGCCTTAAAGAATGAGTATTCTATATCATTACAATTATCCAGATTACGTATTGTTTTTGGAATTTTATTAAAAATTTTTGGAGCCATACAAAATATACTTTTGTTCAACAGTGCTGTCTTAGAGGGTATTGTACACAATTTGTCTCGATGACGCAATCTCGTCTTATTTTCAAACAGTTGTTGATTCTGTTTGACAAAAATACCAACTTCGAATATATAGATTGATGGCAGGGTCATAATATTTAGTTTAATAAAATATGGCCTACAGGTATCCGTACTCTGTAAGTGACACATGCTCCTAACACATTTTTTCTGGGCTCTAAAGGCAGTTACAGAATCAGTCGAATATCCCCAAAATATAATGCCGTATCGAACAGTAGAAACTACGTACGCGTGATAAGCTGTAAGGACCGTGCACTGATTCGCGATCCTACTAAGTTTGTACAGTGCACAAGAATACTGGGACAACTTTTTGCAAACATGTTCAGTGTGTGTTTTCCAAGTCATCCTTTTATCAATATACAAACCCAGAAATTTTGTAACATCTGATTCTTTTATTTGTGTACCAGCATAGTTAATGTTTAAGTCAAAGAGTTTGTTAGTCCTTTGTCGGAAATTCATAAATTGAGTTTTTTCTAGATTTATTTTAAGATCGTTATAATTTAACCACTGAATAATTAACTTTAATGTCATATTTATTTCATTTTCATGATCACCTACATCACTATTACCTATGAACAGAAGAGTACTATCATCTGCAAACAAAGTCATGTCATGATTAGTTATATTGGGCATGTCGTTAATATATATCAAAAATAATAGGGGTCCCAGCACACTGCCTTGAGGCACGCCAAAGGGATAATTATATCTGATTTTAGATGAATATACAACTTCTGTTCTAGTCCTTTGACAGATTTTTTTAAGTTGTGTTTTTTGTCGTCGATTAGATAAATATGACTCTATTAGTTTGTGTATATTACCGCGGATTCCATATTGATATAACTTAGATAATAAGATCCTATGATTAACGTGATCAAAAGCTTTGCTCATATCCATGAAGAGCGCTGTCGCACGAACTCTGGCATCCATACTCTTCGTTACTTTTTGCAAAAAATTGAATATCGCCATATTTATAGTTTTACTCTTCCTGAATCCCATTTGTTGGTTTGCTAATATGTTATGTGATTCAAGAAAATTATAGATAGCTCCATAAATTACCTTTTCCAATATTTTAGAAAAAATGGGTAACAAAGCTATCGGCCTATAAGAATTCATTTCTTCCTCACTATGCTTTTTGAAAATTGGTTTAATTGTTGATATTTTAAGTCTATCAGGAAATATTCCCTGTTCTATACATAAATTTGTTATGTAACTAATTACAGGAGCAATAATTTCTGCCACTTCTTTCACAACTTTTGTTATTATGCCATCATAGCCCGCACTATTTGAATTATTCAGTTTTGTTATTATTTTTAAAATTTCACTAGAATTTGTAGGGTTAATAAACACAGAATTGCATTGATTTTTAATAGTTTTGCATGTCCAATTTTTGTTTTGATTGGAATCATCTTTAATTTGGTCAATAAAATAGTCATTAAAAGCAGATACGATTGTTTTAGGATCATTTATTATTTTATTATTTATTCTTATCTTAGATATTTCGTCACAGGGGAGGTGTTTTCTCTTGTTGTTTATGACTTGCCAAGTCGCTTTAGATTGATGTCCTTTAGAATGTTAGTGTGCGGAGTGCCATCATCCCCCCAATTGGCGCTAGTGTACGAAACGTCACAATGGTAATGTCGCGATTGCGGTCAAGAGTAAGCAGGCTGTTTTCTGTCCAGTCAAACCATTTTTCTGACACTATTCTGTTTACAACTAGGACATATTAGTTTTTTTTTCAATAAGTATTTTTTATTTCAATCTAAAGTGAAGTACTTATGTATTTAATAACTCTCAATATTCATAAGAAGTGTTAGAAATTCTTATCACAGTATTTATGTGTGTGATTGATTACGGATTTTTTATGTCATAATGATATATTTTATGAATTCACATCAACTTCGGCTTAAGTTTTTGAGCTTTTTGTATATTACAAAAATAGTTAACATTATTAACTAGCCTAGTAGCTTACAATGTCTATTATAATTAGAATTAAATATTTTATATATGATGAAAGGTTTTATTTATTTTTATTCTAGATCACGATACAAAACAGCACGTTAGCTTACCTCAATATGTAAAATTTTCGGAATGGATTTTCAACTATAGTTTCAATGCATTAAGATTTAAAATCAAGTAAAAAGTGACAGATTTGTATAACCTGGTGTTTTGTTAACAAAGATATGAATAAAAGAATATCCGGAATGTGGCAAAATTGATGTCATAGGTTTTATTATCATCACAGTTCATCGTTCTATTCTTTATGGATAAATTATTTTGTCACTCTCTACTATCTACTTTAGAAATCCCCCAGAAACTTGCTTATTATTACTTGCGTGCCGGCCAAAGTAGGTACTTAGCTCTTGCCAGTGCCGGTTTTAGCACTACTAGCGCCCTGGGCGAAATTTCTTCGGCGCCCCCTAACTGCAATTCAATTACTACTACATACTACAGATCAGTTAGGGGGCGTCCATAAATTACGTGAGATGTTTAAGGGGGGGAGGGAGTCGAGTCAAATCTCATCTAATCTCACGTTGGAGAGAGGGGGGGTCTCGGCAAATATCACGCAATTTTTAAAATAAGGCTCGGTGCGGGGAATCCCTCATAGAGTGAAAAGTCTAAGGTTGAGATCATTCACTAATTCGTTGGAAAGAAAATAATTTCATTCGTACTTTGACATTATGATGTATAATGTCAAAGTACGAATGAAATTATTTTCTTTCCAACTCCTGATTGTCAAACCACTATACTCGTTTTATACCAAATAGCTCAATTTAATTTGAATTTACGGTACAATGTAGCTCGTCCTTTGTTTTCGCGCCACTGTCAGCTGAACGTGTGACTCGATGAATGAGAGCAATATTGATTACTAGTCTCTAACTAGTCGTAAATAAAAGTACTAAGCGAATTTTTTTTTCATTTTATTAAAAAAATCCAACGTGTTTAAATAAGAAACCCACATTTTGAAAAATCTCACGTGAGATTTGGGGATGGGGGAGGGGATTGAATAAAATCTCACGACATCTCACCAGGGGGGGAGGGAGGGTCAGAAAATTTGAAAAAACACCTCACGTAATTTATGGACGCCCCCTTACTAGTCTTTTTTTCACCGACCCGGCCTACTTACTTGTAATTTTCCCTAAATTTAGGTAGATTGTTAAGTTGGCAGCATTAGAATGGAACGTAGTGTTCAATCGGTTTAATTTCTCGGGAATCCCCGACTTTCCGACCATACAGAAACAATGTGTTTTTCTATAATCGGGGATTCCCGAGATCTATCTCTTTTAATTTTTGATGAAGCAGAACACAATCAACAATCATCTTCATGCTTGTCATAAGTGGACGCTCTTAAAACAATTATTCGATTATTTTGAAACAAACAAACACAGTAATCAAACGTTTAACGCTACGTTATGATGCTCTTGTTCCAACTATAGAGTGACATTAGTTTTATTTAAAAAATAGACACATATATAGTGTATAAGAAGCTGTTTCATTTTTGACGGATCACATCATTAGGTAGTACAGATTAATTTTTGCTATCTATACTACACATTCCCTAATACTTAAAGTATATAAGATGTTAAAATAGCAGGTTAATTATTGAAATTGGGTCCAGACCCTTTACCCGTGTAACACCCTAACAGGGTGTCACATAATTGTTATGTATAACTTTGTGTAATTGTTGTAACTTTTTGACTGTTTGCAGTGGGCCATTACTTATTATATGATAAATTATTTTGCTATTTCGAATAAGTGGCCAAGTAGCGGTAACAGTATCAACATCATCTAGTACATGTATTTGTTGTATATCAATAACAGATTTATCCTGATCAGCATCTGTAATCGTAGCACTACTTGCTCCCTCACTTCGGGATTTTTCATCCACAATCTCTTGAGTAGTTATTCCATCTGACTTGCCAGACAGAGGCTCCACTGCCGATGAATTCGTTTGTATTGCAGCATTTTAGCTTCAGCTTAACGTTTAAACATGCTCAAATGAAAATTTTCTTAAATGACCGAGCGATAATGCCCACCAATGTACGTCATCTTACCTAATAAAATACATATCTTGATATTGGTAATCGGTATGTTGTTCTGTTTTACCATAATATAATATTTTTCTTGTTAAGTTTCCTTTCGATTCATGCTGAAAGTGAGGCAACTTGAAAACAAAAAAACATCCTCACGGTTCTTGTGTTTTTTCGCCGACCCAGTAGGCCTTATTTAATGAGCGAGGGAACTATATATATATCACAGATCACTAAATATGTATCAAGCATATATATATAATCTTTGTCTGTAGGAAATGAGGAAGTATTAGAAAAAAAACATTAGTTCCCGAAATCAAACTAGATGTCGCTACGGTACGTTCTTGCTTTCTCCATGACAACCCTTCCAGTTTTCTTTCATGTTTAAAAGTAAATTAGTTTTCAAAATTCAATTAACAACTCATATTCTATTTGTACTTTTTCGTATTTGTATTGATATCTAAGTTTCGAACATTTCAAATTTCAGTTACTTGGAAGGAACGGAAATGACTGTCTTTGTTCCATTCGTTTCTTGCAAAAATCAACTTTTGCTAGAGTCTCCATCTAGAGGAGGTACTTTTGTAGTGCTTTCATTTTTTTAAATATTTCCTCATTATACAGAATCAGAAATAAGCGCCGGACGAAAAAAGGGCGCCGCGGCCTTCGGCGCCCCTTTTGGTCCGGCGCCCCTGGGCGGTCGCCCAACCGCGCCCTACCCTAACGCCGCTACTGGCTCTTGCATTCATCGAACGAATGCGAAGTAGTAATCCGTATTTCGTATATTTTTATTTTATTACTTCGTAAATAAATAAAACAAAAGACCACTCTGTATTCTGTCTTACTCATTTTTAGTTTGTATGTGTGAGACAGACAATGAACGAAAAGTTTGAAGAAGTCGCCAATACTTTAAGTCAATAATACCCTAGAATTTGCTAAATATTTTTCCCTCTAAAAATAGTATCTAATTCTGAACCGGTTTCAAGCCTGAATACTTTTTTTTTTAATTTATCATAAATACAGGACTCTAGCTGTGGCGCTGCCGGACTGACATCATCACAGCAGTGTCACAAAGACGCCTTTACCCTCTGTGTTTAGAGATGGAAATATAAAGTTAAAGATGAAAAAAAATATGATTCCAGTTCTTAACAAAATTACAGCTACCCTATTGCATTTACGAACAATAAAAAAGGTCATGGGGCAGAGAGCCCACACATACAGGATGTATCACATCTGTGACAATATTAATAACAATACAGTAAAAACAACATTTAGTGTCTAAATATATATAAAAATACATGTAAATCGAAATAAATGGATTTAAAGTTCAGATTTGTAATATTAATGCAATAAATCACTGTTTGACTAGAATTATTCTTCATTTGTTATTGTATTATCACTAGGCATGTTTTTACACTTATTTTTATGCATTTCTTCCTTTTCTGACATCACCACAAAATTTTGAGCACCACCAGCATAGATTTGAGATATAATCAAATTGCTATCCAATTTGAGAGGCACTAAAGTAGGCTGGTAAACAGACTTTTCCTCAATATTAGTGCCAGTATTAGCATGTTCATTCCAACCCCAAGACCAAAGAGTATTGTCTGTTGCCAAACATATAGAATGTTCTGAACCTACTGCAACATCCTGTACGTGGCGATTGCCTGAAATGGAAAAAAAAATTTGATCTCTTGGCATCATGAAAGACTTTTTGGATTATAATTTTACTATTTTATACCTGGCAATTTTACGTGAAAGATTTTGCCAACAAGACTTTCATTTGTACCCAGTTGTCCATAATTGTTTCTACCCCATGCAACAAGTTCACCATTTTCCAACCATAACAATGAGTTTGTCCATCCACTGAATAATTTTTTAACATTCTGCTTAACATCAATATCAATTTTTTGAGGTGTGAAGACTTTCTTATATTTCACTGTATCAAGTAACAACTGACCATGTCTGTTGTCACCCCAAACATACAGTGCTTTCTCTTCAGAACACCAAGCTGTGGTGTGATTTTGCCCACAAGCAACATGCGAAATTTTACCAACTTTTGGAACTATTTGAAATCTGTCAGTTGACAATATCTCTGACCCTAAACCTAATTGACCATGACGACCATAGCCTGTTATCCAAACTTCACCTTTTGAATTTATTACAGCAGAATGTTTCAGCCCCATTGATACTGCACATGCATTAATCTGTAGTCGAATAGGTTTTACAACATCTGGGAATTGTTCTTTAGGTAATCCTAGCTCCCCATTGCTGTTCGAGCCCCACACAAATAAGAATTTATCGTCAGTTACTCCACAACTAAAATCCCAGCCACATGCAATATTAACAAATGTTATTCCACTTAATTTCCATACTCTTTGAAAATCATGGGTCTCAGTTTCAGTTCCAGATTGTAATTTATGATTCCAACCACATGAAAACAGTTTTCCCTCACTATCTAGAAGTAGTGTGTGGCCTCCTCCACAGCAGATTTGTTTAATTATATTTGTGGTTGTGGATTCAATTATAACCTTTGAAGCCGTTTCAACTTGTTCATTTACAACCCCTAAGCCGAGTTGGCCATGAGAGTTAGCTCCCTGAAAAGGAAATTAAAGTTCTTTGTTGATATCTGCGAAAAACATATGCCCAGTAATAAATTATTCTTACCCATGAAAACAACATTTATTTTGATGGTATACCAGCAGAAAAATAGAAATTAATGAAAAATTTTAATTACAAAGATAATACAAACACATCATAGAGTACATAACTTTCATCACCAAGTCCACAGCACAGTAGTTTGTGCTACTTCATACATAAATTTTATCATTTTCCAATAAGTTTTTATTTTTATCAAGTGTTCCAATATTCCCATCACTCATTCATTCATTCCTTATTCAGAGATTCATTCGCTCGTTCGACGTGACAGCTGCATGGACAAATACCATAGAGTAAGGTAGAGTGGAAATATTTTCTATGGTTATATAAATATCATGCAATCTGAAGTTGACATCAAAAACATCATGTTGTCTTTTTTTAACTAATAAGAAGTTTCTTTAGTAAACAAAGATAACACTAGTGTGACAGTTCAAAATTTTTTACGTGACGTCATGAGATATAGCTATCGTACCACCTGTCAGCCATTTGCAAATTTGCTTTGCGTATTCTCGGAAGTAGTTCAGCTGTCAGTGTTATAAGTTTTGTGGTTATTTTCATTTATAACTTTAATTTATATAACTTTCATGGCAGAAAATTGTAAATTATTTATGCAAAACAATGCCTAGGTGCTATATAATTGGTTGTGCGTCATCAATATCCCGCAAACCGAGCAATATTACGTTTCACCGGTAAGTTAAACACTTTCTTGGAATAACAGTATTTAAAACGTAAGTAAGTTATTCTGAAAATGATTGCGTGTATAAATCGATACATATCGTATTTTGGCGTGTTCTATTTATGCTATATTGCTCTTTTCGTTTATATTTTTATAATATTTCGGTCCGTAAATAATATTGTTTACATGGCTAGTGTTGTTACTTTAACATATGGTTTATATCGATAATTTTAATATTTAAAAATATATTAATTATTTTAGATTACCAAAAGATGAAACAAAAGAGGAAAATGGCCGAGTTACATAGAAGCAGAAAATATTAAATGTAATGAAAAAGTTACTTTTATCTGCTCACTTCATTTTAGGGAAAGTTGTTTGAATCGAACTTTAAATATAATAAAATTACGAGATGATGCATTGCCAATCAAATACTTTGGTAAGAATTTTTGACAATTGCTTTTAACTTATTTAAAAAAAAATGTCTATTACACTTAGTTAATTTTCATTTGATTTTACTGATTTATTTATTTAGTTTTTTATATAGTCATTTTGTTATTCTATAAATGTACCTTATTTTTAGTCTTGCGGTCATATGACGACTATTTTAATTGAAAAAATCAGAATGCAATATATAATAATATTAAAATATAAAATTCTGATCATAATATACTCCCAGTAAAATATACAATAAAATGAGTAAAATAATTTTAATAAAAATTAAAATATGCACACTTATCAAATTAAAGGCATAGTTAAAGGTTTTCTTTGCTGTTCAATAGTATAATCTTAATACCCAAATAATTATTTTGCGGCGTGGATGTTTATTTTGCTGATGCATCATAAAATACGCTACCTTTTTGAATTTAAATTGCTGACCGTTATCATGATTGTTCACAGAACATGAATTGCAGACTGTTTTAGTGCTGAGAAAATATTTGTATGCTTGCCTATTGATTAATCGGCTGTTTTCTTCTTGCTAACCAAATTTTTAAATAAAATGCCAATTGTTACTTCTTTAATAATGTTACTGTTATGCCAATTGTTACTTATTCATCACCAACTTTGTTTTCTTTATTTTCTCTTGTTTATTCATCAAAGTTTACAGTATTTTTATGTTCTTTTACCAATAATATAATACAAAGATTATGTAGGTTTTTCAAGTTTTCTATGTTTACTACTAAACAAGACGTTCTGAACTAAAATTGTGACACAGTACGCACGGTATCTCACTTAATGAGGAGGAAGCGAAATTTATTCAGTCAAAACAATTTATTGAATAAATTTATAGACAAGTTGGCTTACTAGTTACAAGCATATAAGAAAGTCGAAACTCTGTGCTTATAGTTCAGCAATCTATTACGGGAAACCTTGTACCGAGAAAAGAAGAAACTGTAAGAAAGGAACCGGTAAGAAACTGCAAGGGCTGCTTTTGCACCCTGTTTAATTTCGTACTGAAAAATAAAAAATGACTTCATTGGACCAAAATGTCACTTTCCACCAAAACAATAAAAAATATATAACAGACAAAAAAAGCATAATAATTCATTCGTCAATCGACTGATTAAAAGCTTATTATAGTTACCGTGGTAGTTATCTTGGACAGTATTCACACTTCCCGTGGATGCAAAATTAAACTTATGTTAAAAAAACTATTTAATTATAATTGCAAAATGTCAACTTGACAATATATATGGAAATAATTATAAAACACGATTGATATTATTGTAAAACTTTTAAGATATATATTTTGGTACTATAGTTCTTAAAACTATGTAAAATTGGCTATATTAGAGGAAAAAGAAACATATTTATCGAGGTACAATCATATTATAAAATTATATTATTAAATAATATAAATGTGAAAGTTTGTAAGGATGGATGTTGGTTACTCTCATGTAAAAACTACTGAACGGATTTTGATGAAATTTGGAATACGAATAATCTTTTACCCGTGGGAAGCGCCATCATACGCTGGTAACATATGTTATATTTACTATAGTGACGCAACGGAGTCGCAAGAACAAAGAACGCAAGAAATTTTAGATGTCCAACAAAATACGAGCAAAAGATTGCTTAATGATTTATAAATAATTGATAAATTCACGCCACTTTTAAAAAAATATTATTTTCTTAATACTGGCGTGAATTTTTCAATTTAATTAATAATAATCATAAATAGGATTGGTACGTAAGTGTGAAATGAATAGAAGTGTAATAGGTAATAGTTTAGCCATGCCCTAACAATGAAAATTATATTATATTATTTAATAAGTAGTAGTATTGTAGCAGTTTCACGAAATACTAACTTTTATTTAATATGACTTCAATGTCGATACAAATATCGATATCTTGGGTCACGCCCTATGACAATTCGCCATCGAAGAATTTGCATTTGAAGTTTAGGCATATACGCTTTTTTCGTAGGTATGGCCGGTCCTCTTCTTTTATGTCTATGACAAATACTCATTACCCGTAGACAGAGAAAGCAATAGACTGTTTTTTTTTTTTTTTTTTAAATATGGCAGGCACGGCTTGTGCATTTTGCCAATGTCAAGTAAAAAATTTGGGAAACGAATAGGAAAGAAATTGGATAAGGAAGGATGGGATCAGGAATGTATGGTATTTATAATCTTACATATACTATATATATTATCATTTTTTACAATTTTATATTATTGAGTATGAGATATGATATGATACATTTATATATTGATTGATCATAAGTATGTAATAGTGTAGCTATGTTAGTCGGGAATGGAACACGAAGGGATGTTAGGTCTTGCCAGAGGGAGGATATTTGGAATTTAGGACAGGAGAAAATAATATGATTAACTGTTCCTTCATCTGATCCACAGTCACACCTAGGATCGTTGATTATAGGGAGTTTAGCTAAATGAGAAGGCGCAGAAGAATGACCAAGTCTCATACGTGTAATCATAGAAGTTTCTAGCTTGCCACACTTCATTAAGAAAAACCAAGGTTTCAAAGGAATATGATTTTGTATCTGAGCATAAAATTTACCTTTTGTCAATTTACTGATTTCCCACATTTGCTCCCATTTCTCGCGTAATATTACTTTTGGAATTGCTAATAAATCTGAACAATAGTTTTGAAAAGGAAAAACATCTCCACATGATACTGCTTCATTAGCAAGCCTATCAGCTATAATATTACCCTTTATACCAACATGAGCTGGAACCCAGGCAAATTCTACATGAACTTCGTTTTCAATACATTTTTGTATCATTTGTCTGATGTCAAAAATAACGGGAGAATAACATTTTAATTTAAACGGGAATTTTTCTATAGACTGTAAAGCACTCTTTGAGTCTGAAAATATTATAACAGATTTAAGTTTCATGATTTTACTGTATTCTAAGGCTTTGAATATGCCAAAACATTCTCCTGAATACACGGATGATTCTGGAGGGAGTTTTACTTTCTGAACTATTTTATATTGAGAATGATAAATACCGACTCCAACGCAGGTAGATGTCGAATGTTTGGAAGCATCACAAAATATGTGGTGATAGTCATTGAATTTGCTGTCAATCGCGATTTCAAAGTTTAATTTAGCGTTTAAATCAGATTTTTCAACTATGTCATAATGAATAGTAGGTGGAAAAATTAATGATTTATAATCGACATTAAAAATAGGAAGGTAATTTGATACATAAGTAGGAGAAGAAAGGGAGATGAATTTCTTATAACTAACAATGAGACATGGTGGAGTTTTATGTGTCCAATAGCTTGAAGTAGAAAATAATTCATAAAGTGCCTTAATCTTAGAAAGAAGTGGATGATTTGAACACTGAATAGTACGAAAAAAGAATTTGTCACAAATATATTGCCGTCTTAATTGAAGGGGGGGTTCACAGCATTCTATTTGTAAAGCGTTTATTGGGCTCGACTTCATGGCTCCCAATATTATCCTCAGAGCTTTATGTTGAATTTTGTCTAGCTTCCTAAGGGCTGCAACATTACCTGGTTCTAGCAAAAATGTACCGTAATCTAAAACACTTCTAATAAGGGCGTTGTAAACCAACTTTAAACAATATGGATGAGCTCCCCACCAAACACCTGAAAGGCATCTTATCATATTTAATAAGCGTTCACATTTATCAGCAACATATACACAATGGCGGGTGCCTGAAAGTTTCGAATCTAAAACTATGCCTAAAAATTTCGCGTGATCTTTAACGGGAATAGCAGAAATAGGAGGGAGTTTATTTTTACGCGTATATACTACGACAGCACTTTTAGAAGCAGACAGTTGTAACCCATTAAAATCCATCCAATATTTTAAATTAGATAAAGCAGATGTTAATTTAAGAAGCGAATCCTCAATGGAATGACTAATGCAATACAATAAAAGGTCATCGGCGTATTGAAGTATTTTGATATATTTATTTGAGCAAATATTATCTTCTAAATCGTACGTATAAACATTATAGAGAATAGGACTAAGGACTGACCCCTGCGGAAGGCCTTTTGAAACAGTCCGAGAA